GAGTTTGCCACCCCCTCACATGTCACTCACTTCCCGCATGTGTCTTCCTGTGGGTGTGCGTGTGTGTATGTGTGGGTAAAAAAGGCAGCCGAGCACAAATAAAAGTAAAACACAAAAACAGTTTCGCATTGGCAATTTGGTTTTGTTGTTGTTAAATTATCACCCAGTTCTGGGCCATATAGAAACTATATATCCACCCCAAGTGGCGTTTCTCGGCTATTTATGCATCCTCCCACCGAAACCCCTCAGTCGAAAGAACTTTTGCAGAGGCTTGGTAGTTTTAGAGGGGGAAATGCTCGAAAAAGTCATTAAAATGATTAAATATACGCTGGAGAATACCTTTTTTGATGTTTTAAGTTAATTTGACCACTTTTTACCCAAGACGTTTTCTGGCATATTTAAATTCTGATTTCGCTCTCCTATCTTTCCTAAGCAGAGTAGCTTAAAAAATATAAGTATGTCCTAAGATGGCGATTTAAATCTTCCAAAACCCCAAACGAAATCAATTCCCTTCTAAATTTTCTTCGAGTCATTTTCTTTGTCTGTTGCTTATCTGCAAATATTTTTACACCAGTCACATTTCAAATCCCCCGATCGTGTAAGTACACTCAAAGTCAAACAAGATTTGTTTAACAATAAAAAAAATACAAATATGTGGGTTTTGAAATGTGGGGTTTTCTGTTTGTTCGCACTGATAAAAATGCTAATGTTTGGATTTGTTTGCCCAATTGGTCAGTCAACTTTTTGCTTTCCATGGAAAATTTTGGAAATTATTAGAGATAGCGAGTTTAAAGTAATTAGGAAGCAAACTGATCATGACAAACTGTAGAAATTTCGTTTGTTTCTTAGTTCCAAATCGCTACATTTTTGATTTATAACTTACCAATTAAATTTTGTATAAAATTAGTTAGTTAGTTATGTTACAAAAAATTAAGAATATAAACATTAAATTTGTATCGCCTTAGGAAAAGCGTGTTTCGGTTAGGATTCTGTGTTTTTTATAAAGTAGAGAAGGCCAATCAGTGGCCCCAAAAAAATCGCATTGCATACTTTTTCGGGTTATGGAACAATGCAGGCGTCAGCCAATAAAATTCTACGAGCAGCGCCATTTCTATCAGCGGCCACACAAAAACTAATTCCACATAATGGGCCAATCTACATAAAAAATCGCCCGTTAGCTCGGTGGACTCTCCTACCCTCTGGTCGTCAAAAAATCGATGAGCGGAATGGGAACGAGTCGCTTTGGCTGCCACCCCGCATAAATTTCCAAATAATGTAATGCTAAAAAAAATCAGCACACGAGTGCGAGTGAGAGGGGCTGAATGGGCGAATTCGGGGGAGCAAATAGAGTTCGAAATCATGAACCATACAAAATGAAAATCCACCCTCGAAAAAAGTTGCCAGCGTTTTTTCCGTTCGTTTTTATTTTGTTTTCTTTCCCTTCCTTTGTTTTGTTTAAGTGGGCAAAAAAGGAGAACGCAAAAAGCATTGAGTGGGTGGGTTTCTATGTGTTGGGGAGGGTGAACGTATTTATTTGAGTGTGTGTGGGTGGATTCTGGAATCACACTGAAATAAAATAAGCCAGAAAATAGAAAATAATATTAAAATTTATTTATTAAACCGAAATATAACATTCCCATCATCCCTAAACAAAATATTTGATATACTACTCTTGCCAAAAATATAAATTAAAATTGGTACACCAATTTTTCAAGTATGGTGGATGGTTGATTCTAAAAGACTGTTTCGCTTTGTTTGCAAAACAATCAAAAGCGAACAGAGCGCCATGTTCGTTCCGAGTTTCCTCGGCTCCCCGGATTTCGCCCCGTTGACATCGTTGGCGACATTAAATATTGCTAAGCGTTCTTTCTTTTCGACTGCCCTGCGACTACCACCGATTTCCACCGCTTTTCCTCCTTCGCTTTTTTCCGGCCAAACCAATTTCAAGCATATTTTTATGACTCCTCTGTGCAGGCAGACGGGTCAACAAAAGTCCATTGGGCTGGCAGGCGCAGCAGCTTTAGTTTATTTTGCAAACGTGTGCCACCGGCCACGCCCCCTGGTACAACGCCCCCAAAAATACAGGACTATGTGGGGCCATGTGCTAGACGCTAATAACGTGGCGGCCAAAAACTGGCAGGAAATGGTCAAAATCCAGCAGTGAATCCTGCCGAGGGTTCGAGGGTTTTGGCCGCTCATCCATATGTTGAGATTCCCTTAGTCCTGGACGTGAGTTCAATGAAGCTGCGAAAAAATATTCCTACGGAAATTGGTGATTGGTTAGTGCATTACGAACAGGCAGTAAAGTATCTTTGGCTCATTGGTTACAGCAAGATTTATATTTAATTAGAAAGTTATACACAATATACACAAATATGTATTATATGTATATCAAATCAAAATCGTATTTCAAAGCAATCCTTATAAAACTTAGCTTTCAGATATCAGTGATATTAGAAGGCATAAATTTAAAGATCCTTTGTGGGTAAAACTTCCGCTGAAATTCTAATCATGGCATCATCGCCACATACATTTTGACTGCGTTTTATGGGCCTTTTTACCAAATTACAAAAATGCGCCATTTCTAATTTGTGTGTGCTTTTTTGCGTTGTTGCTTTTGTTTTCATTTCGGGACACACAAAACTGTGTGCCTATAAACCAACAACAGGACGACAAATAACGGAAATGACAAAACAGAAACACACACACACTCACTAGCACCCGCCGCCCACTTGGCCAACCCGCTTTTCCCACATTCCCAAAAATATGCAACATTTTTTATATGTTTCTGCTTCACAAAACTTTTGCGCAGGCAGCATCATAAAATTTTTTTCTGCTGCTGCTGTCACTTTTTTCCTCCGTTATTGTTGCTGTTGTTGCCCTGTTTTTGGTTTGTGGCCAGGCTTTTATGTTGCTTTCTATATTCGTATGTGTGTGTGTGAGTGTGTGTGTGTGAATGCGCGCGAGTGTGTGTGAGTGCTTTTTATGACCCAATATGGCCGCCACAGAGCGGCGTACGTGTTTGCTTTCCCGTGTCCGGTCTCCGGTCGCCGCTTTCTCCTCTTTCCGCTTTTATTCTTCGCAGCAGTGATGCCACCGATCTATTCCATTATTCCCATATATCATCCGTATTGATATGTACATAAATAAGCGTGTAGACACTTCCAATAACTCTTATATACATAACTAATCAACACGGAAAAGATTTGAATAAGCGGATTTGAAAATTTAACAGTTAATCTTTATTTAGCTTAAAGATATTTCTAAAAAGGGATTTTCCATCCATTGCGATTTTCTTAAGGAAAAAGGCCGACGTGGCAGCACTGACTTCCAAGTGCGGGTTTATGAATTATATAGATTTTTATGCGGTCGCATATTATTTTTGTTGCCTTTTTTGCTTCTCCCTCTTTTTTGTGTTGGCCCCGACTCCTTGGATTCGGCCTCCATGGAACGGGGGGCAATAAAAATGTCTTTTTATGTGTACGTTTGTCTCCTATCCTGGCCAAAGGATCTCTCGCCCGTTTGGTCGCTCCATAATGGCCGCCTTCAGGCGGCATGTTTATGAATACGCTTCGACTCCGCTCCGCTTTTGGTTCCTGTGCTTTACGAGTCCTGGTACTGGCGCAGCTTTTATTATTCCTATTTTCATATATATTACACTCTCCATTTTTGGCTGTTATTTTTTCGCTCTGGCTCTAGCTGCTGTTGTCATTTTTGCATTAATTTCATATTTGGTTTATGGGTATGTGCGTTGAGTTTTTCTTGCCGCTGCTGTTTATTTCGCATAAATAATAAATATTTTTGGTTATTGCGTCTGCACAGTATTAATATTATTTTCAGCACAACCATACACACACACACATCCACAGGCGTGCATCCTGCGAACCGCAGGACTCATGGCCGTGAGCTTTAATTTCGGCTCATTTTTCGCTATCAAAACACTATGTTTATGCTCGTGTATTTGTTTTTATTCCACTCATCGGTACACGCACATACATATGCATAAACTTACACTCTCGTAAATATTTGCAATTAAATATGCCAAAATACACCAAAATAAGTTCACACAAACACACACACATAGGCTCTTGTGCATTTCGCAATTTTGACCATATTTGATGTAGCCATACCAGCTTCCATTTTTGCTGTAAATTTCTGGCTTTGAAAAATTCGTTAATTAAAAATTTCATAATTTACACACAAGTTAAGTATATTTGGTGAAATATTTGAAAACCATATTCAATGATTCAATGCAATACCACAAGCAAGCACAAAAAACACATTTAAACATATATTTTTTTTCGCACCGCATTGAAGGGTTTATGTTTGCTTGCTGACTTCATATAAATCCACAAATATTTAATATTAATTTCCAGTCTTGCTTCAGATCAGGTTATTTACCTTTCAAAAGTTTAGTTGAACCTTAGCTGAACGATAAGTCTAAAACATATTATGTAATTTTGTTTTAATGATACATATATTATGAAAAAGCTTTAGGAATTAATTTCATTAGATAAATATTCAAAAGCATTTGCATGGAAAGTTTTCCGAGTAGTTTGTCTTCATTAATTATGCAATAGTTTTACTCAGTAAAGTACATCAAGATCACAGGTGCGCTTAGCCACATAGTGATTACAAAACTTGGCTAATCTTAATAGTTTTATTAGCCACTATCACTATCAATAAAACGAATAAACTTCGATAGAGATATCTGCGGACAGTTTAACATTATCAAAACGCACTAACGGGCATGAGTTTGCTCTTATATTTTGTAGCCACTTTTAGTTTTCAACCTTAAAAACTTCCTGGTTCTATTTATGAATAAAAAGTTAACAAAATCATATTTTGCAGTACTGGCCCCACTGTGCGGAATGCACTGAGGCAATCGGGTCAGGCCCATGTAAACAAATCGAGTGCATGTGCACTCGCTTCTCGAAAAGCACCAGTGGCCACCACGAGGCCAATGGACAGCGCTTATCGCACTTGTGGCGTAGAATAGTCTGATTAAAGTGCCGTTGACAGCTAATCGTCTTGCTCAAAGTGCGAGATATTAAACCAAATGTATTTCAATTACAATTGTAGCGCACTTAACATTAGGTCCCAGTGTCGCGGGCGTTAAATCGGGAGCTCAATCAAAAAAAAGAGCGGAGTGACTAAGAGAGTCGCGCTCAGAGACGTAGTTTATATTTTGGAGCACACTGGAGAACTTCCGAAAACTATTAATGTATGAATCCTCTAACAATAGAAGTACATATAAAAAAAATAATTAATAATTATTCATTTGTATTATATGGTTTCTAGGACCCCCTTTATCGCCACCACTGTGCGGTAAAGCAGCCAAGCGCCGTTATCATCGCGGATTTGAAAACACAGCAGCGCCAGCGACGCGGACATTGTGCAAACTGACGTCCCCGGGGGCAGTCGCTCAGATCGGTTGAGAAACACGGCTATAAATCAAATCAGGTGGCCAGGATTAACAGCTAAGAACAAAGTTACACCTTGAAGTACCTCTAATGGCTTCGGAAAACCAAGAAAAACGGGGCGAGCAGGGGGTTCAGGCCAGGGTGCCGGACCTCAACTTTGTGCGCGACAAACTACAGAAGTTCCAGTCAAAAATGTTGCAGGATTTCGAGCAGCGGCTGTCCTGCATGGTGGAGGATGTCCTGCAGGATCTCCGGCAGCGGGAGCTGCGGGCGCACGAGTTCCCCAACTTTGAGAGATCGGATCGGAAGAGCACTTGGCATAATCGCGTGACCAAACAAACACAATCAGACGTCAGCGACTCGCCAAATGGCCATGCAAATGACACAGAATCAAGGCCTCCGCTCCAAGCCGAAAAATCTGGACAAAAACAGAGACGACGACAACTGCCCGAAAAAGTCTTCGTCGCCCGGGAATCTTACCTCACCGCTCTGCTGCAGGTGGAGCACATGCGCACCATCTACCACATCTTCTACATTATTCTGGTCATGTTCCTGCTGAACGTGATCTGCCACGACTACTTCGTGGAGGGGCGGATCGACCTCGGGCTGGGCACCTTCCGCGGCGGACTGCGCCGGCTCCACTGGGTATTTGGAGTCTGGCTGCTGGAGCACGTCTTCGTCCTGGCGCTCTACTTCGCCTTCCGCGGATGGGCTCTGGTGAGGCACAAGCTGAAACCGCATAGTGAGTTTGGGGTCGATAATCTTTTCTTACTAGGAATTCCTAATTGTTTTAGTTTACCTTTTTAGTGATAGATTATGAGTAGATAACAGATATGCTACTTTGTATACTTTATCAGTATGAAATGGGGAGTGGCTTAGGGCTACAAACCTTAAGCTATCACATCAGAACCTTTTAGTGAAAGGAATTCGAGTTTATATACTTTTACTGCGTAATTTCTGACTCTTAACAAGGAAATTACGACGACCGTGTTTATAACAAAGCAAAGTCAATTTCTTAGTTAGTCATGTTGCTTTTTACCACGTTCACTTGAACTTTTTTTAATTGAATTGATAAATTTGTTTTAACTTTTTTATAGAGATTTTTAAGATAAGCTTTTTTATATAAAGTGCTAAGATTTAAAGATCCCATTTCTTATTGAAGATTTTCAAGATAAGCTTTTTGTATACAAAATGCTAAGAGTTTAATTTTCCAAACCAAACCAAGAGACTTATAAGTTTACCATTTCTTAAAGGTTCACTCCAGCGTTTCTGGTCGCATAGCTGCCTGATCCTGTACATCAGCTCCCAGCTGGTGTTCTGCTTCGTGTCCACATCTCTCTGCCTGAAGTTCAACCTGCCCTTCGTAAGTGCCTGTGTTTTGTTGCTGGAGAGTACTCGACTCCTCATGAAGATGCACGCTTTCGTGAGATACAACGCCGAACGGGTTATAAAAGGAAAGGCCAAGAAAGATGACGCGGCGGAGGAGGGAAATGAAAAGGAGGCCACTGGACGACCCTTTGTGCCGCCATTTAGTTGCTACACCTACTTCCTGTTCGCACCCACACTCATCTACCGAGATAGCTATCCGCGCACATCGCACATCCGCTGGAAGTTCGCTCTTAATCGCCTTCTGGAGGTGGTAGCCATAGCCTTCCTGTACGCCTTCATCCATGAGCGGCACATCGACGCGCACTTCGGGCAGTACGGCCTGGAGCCTATGGGGCCCTCGCAGTTGATCCTTAAGCTGTTCGGAATGATGCTGCCCAGCGCTGTGATCTTCCTGTGTGGATTCTACCTCATCCTGCACTCGTGGCTGAACTTCACGTCGGAGCTTCTACGCTTCGGCGATCGAATGTTCTACAAAGATTGGTGGACGTCGCACACGTACGACGGTTACTACAGAAACTGGAACGTTGTGGTGCACGACTGGTTGTACGAGTACGTGTACAAGGATATGTATAGTCATGTGTTCCGGGGATCTAAGGTGGCCGCCTCGCTGTCGGTGTTCATGATCTCCGCGTTGGTGCACGAGCAGGTTCTCGGATTCGCCCTGCAAATGTTCTTCCCGGTGATGTTCTTCTTTTTTGGCATCGTGGGAGTTGCCCTGGTCTTCCTCATGCGCAGTGCTCCCAAAGTGCTGGGCAACATCTTCCTGTGGTTCTCGCTGATCCTGGGCAACGCATCGCTTATCTCACTGTACGCCATGGAGCACTATGCGTTGAAGAACTGCGATCTGAGCCGGCAAAGCTGGTCGGATTACCTGCTGCCGGCGGCTTGGCGCTGCTACAATTAGTCAATTATTTAATCACAACTACATTTTAACTGTCTGTACAGAGGGCGTACGCTTCGATTTGTATTTTAAGGTAAATAAACTTAAAGAAATAAACAAAAACGTCTTCTTCATGGCGTTTCGTGTCTTTGAACTTGCCGGCAGAACTGCTCTTAAAGCTATGGATATTGTTATTTTTATTTTACATCAGTGTGTCTGATGCTAACTTATAAAATACTGTGTGAGCATTGGTGACTGTCCTTGGAAGTGGATCCCGCACGTTAACCGCACAGGTTGGCGATGGCCTGTGCCGCATTTGCGGCTGCCACCTGTGGCGCGTCCTCCGCCGGAATGCGTTTGCGGCGGAATAGAATGACGTGGGGCTCCGGAGCGTGGACCATGTAGTGCACCCAGCCGGGACTCTGCTGCACGCCCAGGTTCCGCCACTCGGTCTCGGTCATCAGATGAGCCTTTGGCACATGTTTGGCCAAGTCCGGGGGCAGGATTACGTGCCTGCAAGGGGGATGCGGTTAAAAGGTAAACAATCCCTTCGCAGAGCGATAAGAGCATTCTCAAATACCTGTATTCGAAATTGTCATCGAAGTACTTTTCCGAGTACTGGATCTGATCAGCTGGCATCGTAATAAGTCAGAAAACCTGAGGGAAATTAAATATTTTAACCGAAATAGGGCAATTAATGAGCTGGTTATGGCACTTTGCTGACTTTTTAAACTATCGTTAGGGGTACTTGTTATCGAATGTTATCTGGTAACTGTCAGTTTGACAGCTACCTGGCGGCTAATTTAAAGTTAATAGAGATTTTCTTGTTTTTGAGTTTTGAACTGTTTTTGTTGTTTCTGTCACTGTGTTTCGGCTTGTTTCCCACTAAAACATTTTACAGCATTGATTTCTAACATTATTGGTAAAGGCGAAATGGGGAAAACACAAACCATTGTTGTTAAGAACCTTAACATTTCTGTTAGCAAATGCTGCACTCTAACATTTTGATGACAAAAAGCGCCCTCTATAGGAGAAATGAATAAAAAACAGAGTTTTTATCGGAATGGCAAAAACTGAAATTTCTCCAGATAAATCACGATATAAATATATTTTTATACGAGCAATATCGATATGTTGATATTTTGATATTATCAACAACCCTAGAGGCTCCATCGATGGGCAGAGTTTTTATATAAGCCCCTCTATGTGCCACTCGTCTCTCGCCAGGAATAACAACAACCAGCCAGGCCAGGCGACAACAACATCGCACACGCGTATAAATAAACGTGAACGCATGTACTTAATATTAGCATAGAGTTGTCGCCTGCGCGTATTACATATACATAACGTCCGTATACTCCCATGACAACGGGACCTCACATCCAGAACAACAACAGCAGCGGAGGAACAGTTAAACGAATAGGAGGAGCAGAGGAACCCAAGGGGAATTTTTAGAGGTGAGAAGAGGAATGAAATAAATACAGTCGAACTTCCATAAGCGAAACAAAACCCTCGGTGTTAATATTTTAAATGGTCGCCGCAATTTAATTGACCAAGCCCCTTAAAAAAGTTTAAACTGTAATCACTATACACTTAGAAGTTTCGCATTAGGGAAGTTTGACTGTATGTACAAGGTAGCAGACCGCAATTAGCAAAACTTTTAGTCCAACAGGCACCCACCACACTACCACAAGCACTAAAAGATCTCGATGTTGGTGTAAGGAAGCAAAAACACCTGCTGCTGCTGCCTGTGGAAAAGCTGAAGGAATAGCTGCTCCAAACTGCCCAGGTGACATCAAACCAGTTGGAGGCGACGCACCGGCCGCCTTGAGGAAACGGAAACGGTCACGCACACGATTTCGGAGTAGCGACCACTATGAACGCCAGCCTCATCTATGAGATACTCATGTATCTGAACTCGTTCTACTTTGGCATGTACGCCGCCTTCGAAGTGGGCGTGTGCGTTTTGAAGGGGATCTACGGCGAAAACGTGCTGTACCGGGAGGCCAGTATCCTGCTCTCCCTGTGCATCATAGAGACCCTGCGCATCGTCTTCGGTCGCAAGAGCAGTCTCAGCGATCGTGGTAAGTGCATGAGTACTTTGAAAGGAGGGATAAACCCACCGGCAGCGATGATGACATGGCGAAATTATTTGTTTTCCCCGCTCCCACTTCCCTTGCCACTGAGGCCATAACCCATAAACGTTTGGGCGTACATATATGTACATATATGTAGTCCACACGGCGTATGCGTAATTATGGTCATCACCCCGGATGAGTGTAAGCGCTTTTGGGGAGGCAGGAGTGGGAGAGGGATGGCGCCCTTCTGGCACATTAAGCAATATTCAATGGAAATCTATCAAAGCGAATCATCGAAATGAGCCAGCAAGGCATCTAATGCCGAAAATGTGATTTCAAAAGCAATTGGGGCTCTAAAAATTACCTTAATGAGTTAATTTTATACATTAGAGGGAGTGTCAGAGAAAATTTTACTGGTATGGGAACAATTTATGCCATACATTTTTGCTGCTAATAACAAACAATGCTCATTTAAAATGATTTCAATTTTCTCTTTGGCAAGACATATCGATTAAAAATCTGTAAATATTTCGAAGAAAACCTCGAACGAACTGCAATATAAACAAAACAAATTTTAGTCCCATATTCTAACTGTGGAATACGAAATATTTCCTATTATTTCCCCTGTATAAATATCGCTCACATTATTACCTATTCTCTATTTGCAGGCTGGCAAGCAACCGCATCCGTAATATTAACACTGCCCAGTCTTGCTATTGTTATCTACTTGTGTTGTTTTCAAACCTTTGTTCTCAAACTCGAAATTATTCTGAGTGCCTTAATGATCACCCTACAAGGTGCTGAACTAGTCTACGCCAGCATATTCATTTGTACAATGTGTCGCCCCGTGACATACACCTAGCAGTTGATAAACCACGTTGCCGCCGCCACGTCAACGACCAAGATCGAGATCAAGACCAAGCCAGCACTAACACTCCCACCTGGAGGAGAAGGAGGCGGAGGAGAAGGAGCATCCACAGCCGAGCGACGACTACGACGAAGACGAGACACTTTCCTTTGGCACTTTCACATCAAGCGATTCGCAAAGACCTCCAAACTGAGCCACCAGTACACAACAAACTACACTAGTCCACTTAAGGATCCACTTTTAATACCCGGATATTAGAGGGATTTCATAGCCGAAACATACCCATTGGGTGTCACTCAAGGTACGTGGACCTTTATGAACTTATATAATGCGTACAGTTTATTCCCATCCGCGGAAAACACATCCGAACGTAAGGCGACGCGACCGATTCTATCAAAAGCAAAGCTGCATTTAATTTGCATTTCTTGGTTGCATTCTTTTGTCCGGCCTTTGTGGCGCTGCCTCCCTGCTGCTCGGACCCGCTCGGTTTTGGTATTTTTATACGGCTCTGATGGTCTAAAATTATATGCCAACTGCATGCTCATGCAACACCACTGCTGTCCCCTAGGTGCAATGTACACTTCTAATTCGAATGTAATATACACGAGCCACTGCGGACGCGTTAGGCTGGCTAGAATGGCCAGATGAGAGGGCCGTTTGTTGTCACTTCGGTTCTCTCGATTCGGTCTTGGCTAGTGATATTACGATGTGCGAACTACAAAATAACATCTAAGAAAATATTATTATTTGTAGTTTATATTTTAAAAATCCAAAACATATAAATTGAAAGAAACATAGAGGCAAATAAGACCTCTTTTGCATTTGTAGGGAACAATTTAAGGGCAGTTCCTTGCCCGAGGGAGCTGCTCGCCGAGGGAGGCTAATAGTATTTCCCTTAATAACTTTTTGTGAGCTGTGAAATCATCCTCCCACACTTTTGGGCAGGCCATCCGCCGGTCAACGCTGACCAAAACAGCGAGCAGGGAAAACAAATAAAAGGCGACAACGACCAGCAGCACATTATTCAAATAAACAGCACATTTCGCAGCAACAAACCGTGAGACCGCCGATGTGATGCCGCCGCTGCACTGGCCAAGCGAGCAGCACGGCAGGTCCGCGTTATTATTATGGTCAGTCTATAAATACAGTGCCCAACGCAAGCAACGCCGCCGTGCGAGCGATCCGGGAGATCGATTCGGGCCAATTTGCGTAGACTTCGAGGGGCGAGAGGAGTAGTCAAGCCGCCACAAAGATGCCGCCCAAGCGGCCACCGCCGCTCGTGCCGAAGAAGCCGAATCCCAGCATGAACTACGAGGTGTTGATCTACCTCAACTCGTTCTACTTCGGCATGTTCGCCTGCTGCGAGATGGCCATGGGCCTCCTGAAGGCCATCAATCTCAGCTACACTGGCCATACCCTGGCACTGGACACGGGAGTGATGATTAGCTTCATTGTCTTCGAGACGATCCGCCTGATAATGGGACGCATGAGTTCGCTGGCCGACCGAGGTAGAACGCTCCCGCTCGCCTGACAGTCTAATTATAGGATCCGCTAAAACACAGCCATTGCACAAAATGTTATCATTTAATACAAATGATTTTAAAGCCGTCTTCTCCTTACAAAAGCTAATCAGTATTAATCCTTTTTTATCTCTTTCGATCCCAGGTTGGTCGGCCATACTGTCGGTCTTCATGACCGCACCCTGTTGCGCGGGCGTTTCCTATCTGCTCCTGCTGCAGACCTACCGACTGCGCCTGGAGTACTGCCTGTGCACCCTGCAGATTGCCCTCTACTTCACCGAGGTGTGGTATGCCATCGTCTTCGTTTTCTCGCTGTGTCGTCCAGTAACTTATGATTAGCCACATATATACATGAAGCCACCATCAGCCAACCGGGAAGAGTTGCAGATGAGAAAGTTTAGCAATATACAGGATCGGAGATGAATATGATGAATTGTAATGAAATACCGTGGAGATACATTGCAGTAGGCAGCTGAATTGCTCATGGCCGAAACAAAAAACATATGTAGCATATTAATACTTATGTATAGTAAGGTTTATGATAACATACACACACTCTTATATACATATATTTAACGGTTTTATATACAAAAATTGTTAACATTTAAGCATCAATTGGAACCAATATAAGACAACAAGCTAAAACTTAAACTTGAATAATTTTCACATTTTTAAGATGGCAATTTTTTTGTAAAAAATATCGAAAAATACCCAAAACAAATTTAATGTATGGAATTAATCTAAAATAGTTTGCAGATAACTCGAATCATAAAGAGAATTGTAATAAATAGAATATGTCAAAATCTAGTCAAAAACAGGAGCATCTGAATGTAAATCGCCGAAAGAGCAACAGAATTATTCATTACCACTAAGCGAAGCAGTTAGTAGTTCACACCAATATTCAAAAGAAGGAACTAAATCAAGCCCAGCAAAAGTCTAGACCATGTGTGTACTTTAATGAAGATACTTTATATAAAACTAGCAAATAGCGTAAATAACATGTTCAAGACGGTACTAAAACAAAAACAATGCGTAAAAACATATACAAAAGCAAAAACAAATTAGCTAAATCATATTAAACATTTTAAGGGTGTTATAAACTAGGCAAAAACCATCCATTATAGTGCCGCAAAGTCCTTGCGAAGTTCTTCTCACTAATTCTGCCTATTGGCAACTGAAACCCCCGATAAACCACGCTCAATTATCCCCGCCTAAAAGGATCCGAGGATGGGAGCGTAACTGCAGCTCCACTAATGCTAGTCAATAATGTTCACAAACATTTTCTAAGCTACACCGAAGATTGTGTATAATTTGTAAGACCATTTTGTGGTTTCATAGCAGACTAGCGAACGCAAAACTCTCAACAGTCCACAAATCTCATGCTTTTAAAACGACAATTTTAATTAATGAAATCCGCTCCAAGCTGGACAAACCAAAACCAAAGCCACATCCTATGTTGAATAATTTACTTGTATAATATTTATGTCATTTCGTTGAACGCAAAATGTTAACATACTTTTAAAGCGCGTGTAAAACGGATTAGTTAATAAAGAAAGGAAAACCAAAGCCTAAGAGATTTTATGACAAATTATATACACTCGATGAAAATACCAATTAAAGATCAAAACCGAAACATCTTCGTTTGTTGTCAGTAGGCTAGGGGTTCCGCACGATTATTCGGATCTAGAAATGACCGAGTATTTATTTCGAGCAGGCAAAATTTCAGACAACTTTCAGCCTCACCTCACACACAGGTTTTCCAAATTGGTGTAGTTTCACAATTTGAAACCGAAACTGCTGCAGGTCCGTGGAACAAGACAAGTTGATTCGATCAACGGAAATTTTCAGTAATCTCCATGGATAGAAACTACAAATCGGGTGAGTCGAAGGAAGATTTTTGGAGTGCTGATATTTATGCCTACATCTCTATTTTACAGACGAGGCCTTTGGTCAGTCCAGCAGCAACAGTCGTCGTGTCATGTGGAAGCTCAACGGGGAGGAGGAAACCTTCGACTCCCTGGTCAACTATCGCCGTATCCCCGTTCGCACGGTTTGTGTTTCAGCACAGCAGAACAAGAGCCAGGACTCCTCTCTGCAAAACAGAAAGCGCAAGGCCAATGAGAGCTGGCGGCTGCTCCTACGCGACTTGGTCAAGAAGAGGTCCACTATCCGAGAGCGCGAGATGGCCAAGAAGGCGGTCAGCCTGAGGGAACCAGTGTGGAATGCCAGCCAGACGTCAGCCACCTCGCTGCCGGAAATTAAGGAGTCGAGTCCCAAGGAACGGGCGGCCATCTACTGGCGGCGTCTCTTCGACGAGGTGCACAAGCCACAGATTGAGGAGCAGAAAGTGCCGGGTGCGGAGAAGGAGGATCAGGTGGACGTCGCGCTCACTGCAAAGCCCAGCCTAGCATTGCGCTACAAGCCATCCCACGAGTCGTTGAAGTTCAAGCGGAGCAATGAACTCGCATCAGGACGATCAGGGCCCAAATCTTCCCTCGAATCAAAGACCAGCAAACTGGAAGCGAACCTCAAACTGGAGACCTTCAGCCTGCCGCCGCAGCAAACGTGCGTGGTGCGCGAGGTGGAGCCTAGGTTTGCCCACCAAAGGCGCATGTCGCTAGCCACCGACTCGGATTCGTGCTGCTCCGGCGAGCTGGAGGTCCCCAACAACAGTCCCGTCCTGCAACAGGAGCCAGGATCTCGTCCACACAAGGAGCTGATCAGGGTCCATGTCTCCGCACCCAAACAATCTCCACTTGCGGAAGGAACGCAACGAAGTACGACTCCGAATAGACGTCGCAATGTGTTGAGCAAGGTCAACACCGGGACTAAAGAAGGATCCCTTATAGCAGCACCCATCACAGGGGGCAACAAGTGCTCCAGGACCAGCGGAAGTGCGGGCACCTCTAACATGCTCACGTTACGGCAGCGACAGCAGGAACTCCATCGCTACCGCGTCATGGTCGAGCGGAGGCGCCTCGATCTCCTCGAGCTGAAGATAGCCCGCGAGCGGGAGGAGGCGCTGCACAACGAGATCCTCTTCCACAAGGACCTGCAGATCAAGGAAAACGTGATCAGGGCCCATGAGGACAACGACTGCTCGAACGCCTAGGACTTCCCCAATTCATCGGCAACTCGTTTAGATACCAAATTCATGGTGGTTTTCCACAATTCGCAGTGGCCCTGGCCTCAGCAGTACAAATTTTTAACACGAAATAAACTAAAAAAAGGAATACTCAAATAACACAATTATTTATTTATTTTAACTTAATTACGAACTATATGCTTAGAAAGAAAGTTCCTCATAGTATATTGAACACATAATTTATGTTTACAGTATTTTGAAAATTACACATTCCAATAAGAATTCAAAGTTCTTGGCGCGAAAGTTTTGTTTTAAAGGGGGTCTGTTTTCGTTTAGCAACACTTAACACCCGCGTTTCGTTGTGAATGGACTTTAGCCCCAACCATTATTTTAATTTGTTTGTTTTGAAATAAAACGTGAAATGTTAATAAATGTTTGTCGAGTTTGCGGCAGAAGTACGCTGTGCCCCAAGGCCCAGGATCTCTTCAAGCCCGGCAGACAGGAGACCCTTCGACGCATACAGATGATCACCGGAATTCGCGTGAGTTTTAGCCGAAAATATAAATAGATCATGCAAATATATGTGCGTGCCCCTTTTTTATGGTTCAGCTGCAGCAGATTCCCAATGCACCGGATATGGTGTGCTTCTGCTGTCAGACAGACCTCAATTCGGCCATGATTTTCAGGAGGCAGTGCATTCTAGAGCAGAAGAAATGGGTACCAGTGGAGAAAGCAGAAGAAGTCGAGCAAAACCAGGAGGGGGAACCGAAAGATCCAGTTCCCAAGAAAAGAAGGAACCCACAACGAAAGGCTCGATCCAAGGTGCCATTAAAAATCGTAGAAGTTCTTATAAAAGCAGAGAATAATGCTATGGTTAACGCAAAAGGAGGTGATGAAGAATTCGATCAGTTGACGGAGATCTCTAGGGAACCAGATGCCACAGATGGCGATGTAAATCTAGATGACAGCGATGTAATTCTAGACGAAAACGATGATAAAGATGACGAACTCCGTTTAGTAGACAAGGATTTTAAACGGCGCCGCAAAGTTCAAATCCACAAGTGCCAAACTTGCGGAGCCGTTAAAAACAATAAGTCATCTTTGGCCAGACACGAGTTTGGTCACACCGGGGAGAGACCATTTCCATGCAAGTGTGTAAAACAATTTCTAATTTATCTGAGTTATTAGACTTATGAGCCATATTTTCCAGGGAGTGCACAAAAACCTTTCTCTCGGGAAACGAACTGAAGGCCCACAACCTTACCAATCACACCAAGGAGCCACCGTTTCCATGTCGTTACTGTGAACGTCGATACTTCTCGGTTATCGGCAGGAAGAAACACGAAAGGATCCACACCAACGAACGGCCCTTTGTGTGCGACCAGTGCGGCAAGGCCTTTACAAGGACCTGCATCCTGAAGGCCCACATGGAGTCCCACGCGGTGATTAAAAAGTTCAGGTATAAGGAAACAAATATTTCACCATTAAATTAAAACTCTTATTGGACGTCCTTTTAGCTGCGACGTTTGCGATCGTTCGTTCAGTTTAAAGAAGCACTTGATGACTCACTTTATCTCGAACACGCACAAGCGGAATAGCGATACGGCTACATTATCGTCATCAGAATCCATGTCCATGTTCGGTACCGAAACCGATGAAACCTGGTCGCAAAGTACTGATCAGACTAGTCTCTTCAACGAAGAATTGGTCCAGTCGCACTTTGACATTTTGTGCCAGGAAATTTAGCTCATTTCAAGACGCCATTGGTATAGTTTATAACTATCCTTAAGGTTTACCACAAAATTCATTTCGGTAAGTAAGGAACCTCAAAAGACATCATAAAATCTGGCTCTGCAGAGAAGTTAAAGACATCTTTGGCTAATCAGATCTGTTCTACCCTGTAGCTATTATTCATGTTTATTCTTTTAAAACTATATAGTAATCAATACAACATAATGTAGTCTGAACCCTTTAACATCACAATTGCGCCTATAGAATGAGTGCGATAATACGATTTTCCTTAAAGTACGTACGTCGACTGCATGTATTATTTTTATTTATTTGAAAAACGAGATATTAACAGCTTTATGAGTTTGAAAATTCATTTCATTAAGATTTCATTGATTTTGAAGGGAATTTGTTTGCAATTTGCAGATAAAAATCTCCAAGCTGTACCTAGATTTGAAAACCCGTTTCACATTGTCTGTATTCATGAGTTCAATACTATTTCTTACATTTATTATTAGTATGTGTTATTTGTTGGCAGTTTCTGGTCCTCCAGTCTGCTCAAGCTATTGAATAAACGTTACTTTTTTCAAAAAAAAAAAAAAAAACAACGCAAATGGCGTCTTGAATACATTATTCGCGTTTTCCTGTGACTGACGACCCAGCTGTTAATTCCGATTTACGGATTAACATGGGATCGCATTTGAATCCGAAGAGCTGAGCTGACAAGATGCTGAACGATATCTGCAGAGTGTGCGGTAGGCAGCTGGGTCTCCAGAAGGGCTTAAATCTTTTTGATTTAGTCAATAAAAGATATATAAAGCAATTACACATGATAACCGGACTAAGGGTAAGTTAAAAAGCGTTTAGAGGGGCATAAAACATGGTGAGCTAAAATTTTTTTATAAAAATCAGTTGGAACCCTATCCAAATACTCCCGATTTTATGTGTCTACGCTGCAAGTCGGATCTGAGATCGGCATTAGCTTTCCGTAGACTTTGTATCAAGACCCAGCAGAAGTGGATCGCCATCGAGAAGGAAACTTCGTCTAGCGAAACGGAAAGTGAATCGAAATCTGAGCTCGAATCGGTCAATTTTGCTGACTCTAGTACTTTATTGGGGAACGACGATAAAAGGGAGCTAAAAGAAACTTTTCATATTCCTAATAAAGAGGAGCCCCTGGAGCTCCAAGAAACTTTTCAAATACTTATTAAAGAGGAGCCCTTGGACGAAAGTCTGATTCGAGAGCAGGAGTGGCAAGAGAAAGAGGATTGTATTCCAAAGATAGAAGACCAGAAGATTCCAATAACAACTCAAGAACCCAATCCCAAAGATAAGATCTTCATATGCGAGCTGTGCGGTACGCATGCCACCAGCAAACCTTCTTTTCAACGCCACATGAGAAAACACACGGGCGAGCGACCGTTCTGCTGCAAGTAAGACTTCCCCTGGTATTAGAATTTCAAATGGGTATGCTAATTTTTGAATCTTATTTGAGGGACTGTCAGGCAAGGTTTCTCTCTCCTGCGGAACTGCGTGCCCACTATCGTGTCCACACCGGTGAGCAGCCGTATGGCTGTCGCTATTGCGAGAAGCGGTATGTCAGCTACATGGGAAGGATGAAGCACGAGAGGACTCACACCAACGATCGGCCCTTCGTCTGCGAGGAATGCGGCAAGTCCTATACCGACGCCTACATTCTGAAGAATCACAAGCTTATCCACACGGGCGAGAGGCCGTTCAAGTGCGATCTTTGTGACCGATCCTTTCAGAGAAAAACCCATTTGTCGGCGCATTTCCGGTCGATCGTCCACCACCTAAATGTCGAAAGCCAGGAAAGCAACGCTGTAAATAATAATGAAGATAAAATTTCTAAAGCTTGCGTATTGTAAAAGGTAACATTTCCTGAACAACAAAAGGGGATAACATTTTAAATTTGTAAACATTTTAAAAATAAAACTACAAAAAAGGTACTTAAAGCTCTTTAAAGTTTAAAATTTATACCGGTGTTTATTTCGGGGGATCTTTTGACCGTTAAAACTTTGTGATTTTATGACAGTGTTGTATAACAATTGTATGTTTCAAACAGAGCTCAGGCGTTTCGTAGTAGATAGCTATAAGGTTTTGTGTGACTGTCCATGTTTACAATTGGGAATTTACCAATTTATCTTCGAATAATCTGGTAAAATGCTTCAAAATGTTTGTCGCGTGTGTGCCAGCAGTACGGATGACTCGAAGTCGCTTAAGCTATTCAACAACAGTGCACAGAAGGTCTTGCAACAAATTAAATTACTCACCGGTGTTCTGGTAAGAAATTGTTAATTACTGTCCTCTGTAATTGATTCTTTTAATGTCAGCTCCAATGTGATCCCGAACTACCCGACTGGATGTGCGAGTCCTGTCAATCGGACCTACAGAACGCCATTTCATTTCGGGATCGCTGCCTGAGTAGTCAGAAAATCTTTGAGGAGTCTGTGGTTAGGAGAGAAGAAACCACGTCCCGTTCCTCTGTTCGCCGCAGTGCCCGATCACAAAAAACTCGTCATGAAGAGCCCACTCAAAAGGACCCGCCCAGTCCTCTGGAGGTTATGATCAAGTTGGAGAACCTGAGCAACGGCGACGAAGAGGACGATGGCATCGATCACCTAGATTCCTGCAATGAAGCGGATATGGAGTTCATCAAGGAGATGCCCTCATCTTCAGAGGAACCCGCTTCGCCGATCAGGGTGAAAAGAACCCGCCGTCGGGGTCTTAAGAAAGGCGGGAAAGGAGAGAAGCGCGTCAAGGTTCCGCTCCCGATTTTTTTCTGCGATCAATGCGGCAACAATATCACCGGCAAATCTTCTTTCGATCGACACCTGCGCAAGCACAGCGGCATAAGACCCTTCCAGTGCGAGTAAGACAATCGTTTTTCACATCATTGCACGTGTGTTATATTATAATTCATTCAGATTATGTCCCGCCCGTTTTCTTTCCTCCGGCGAGCTGAAAAGCCACCAGGTGATGCACACTGGAGATCGGAAATTTCCGTGTCGCTACTGTGACCGCACTTATGTCAACTACAGTGGACGCCTGCGTCACGAAAGGACCCACACAAATGATCGACCATTTGTTTGTGCCCAGTGCGGGAAGAGTTTCACCAATTCGTACATTCTTAAGAACCACATGCTTATTCACACAGGGGAGCGCTTGTTTAGGTAAGTAGATTATTATTTGATTTGGATACACTTTAATGGATTCGATCTTTCTACAGATGCGAGCTGTGCCATCGGTCTTTTGCACGGCCTACCCACCTGAAGACACATTACCGCTCCAACACCCACAAGCACAACGTGGAGAAGGCAAAGGCAGAATCGGGAGAAATCCAGCAGGCACTACCTAAACCAGCGGATCAAGACAAATTCGAAACGGAAACCGTGCCAGAAGCGGAGGCTAATGCCTTTACGATACAAGTGTCCTTGCCTGTGGAGCAGGAACAGGATTCGTCGTTGGATTTGGCAGCTCTGGAAACATCCACTCTGATGTACAGTACAAATTAGACCATTACCGAACCAAACTCAATTTATAAAAAGCCAAAAAAAGTTAATGTACAAGTATTTATTTAAATTATAGTGTAAGAGAGTCCTAAGTACAAATAATATAGCACTGGCTTATTTTCTATGATAACACCATCTCTGCTGAATCCTCCTCAGGGTCAGCAGCTTTCAGCATGTTGCGTCTGTGGGCATTCGAACGGTAATGAGAGCTGAGATGTGTGTCGCGACTGAAGGACTTATTGCATAGGGTGCACCTGCAAAAGAAGTGAAGCTTATTAACTGATTAAACTGTTCGTCTGAGTTAATGCTCACACAAAAGCCCGCTCGCCGGTATGAACGAGCATGTGATTCTTCAAAATGTATGCAGTTGTGAACGCACTGTTGCACTCATTGCAGGCAAAGGGACGCTCGTTCGTGTGAGTCCTTTCGTGTTTCACACGAGTGCTGCAATCTGAGAAACAACGAGAGCAGTGGCGACACTCAAAGGGTTTCTCCCCGGTGTGTTTGCGTATGTGGCGCTTAAGTTCTGCCGGCGTACAGAAGCGATCCGGACAGAATCTATAGAGCAAGGATTGACTGATGATATCTGGTTCATCTACAATAAACCTACTTACTCGCATTTGAACTCCTTCACGCCACGATGTCGCTTACAATGCAGTACAAATGCTACTCGTCCTTTAATGTGGTTTCCACACTCCTCGCAAACAAAAATGCCATTCGATTCCCCTTGGTTCCCCCTTTTTCTTCTTGCTTTTGACTTCATAGCGGATGCCTTTGTGTTTGGTTTTTCATTCGTATCCTGATCGCTTTCGTAAATAAGGTAATCTACTTCACTAAAAACAATTTCTTCATCGTTGTTCGACTCCTCGTTGGCTTCTGATTCACTTTTAATGCTTTCCATGTTGATAACTGGCTCGATTTCTATACTTATCTGTGACTGATCCGTGTGCTCCTCCTGCTCAGGTATCCTTCTTTCGTTCTTAGAGATTTCAATTAACTCTTTTTCACCCAGCGATTCGAGCAGCTCCCTTTCGACCTCCAAACAACGTTCCCGAAAGGAGATAGCTTGTTTCACTCGTGTTTGGCAGGAAATACATAATAAATTGGGGAACTCGATGCAATTGGCCAACTTTAAATGAAAGCAAATGGATTATTTAAAACAAAAGCAAGCAAATGAAGACTCACCGAAACCCCAGTTACTAGTTTGATGTGTTCCAATGTGGTTTGGTTGCGCTTTGCAAATATATTTATTGATTTATTAGTATTTGTGGGTTTCCCACAAGTACGACACATTTTTGAAACCATTTTCTAGGCACAAAACAAATCAAACTAAAATGCGCCGAAAATGTTGTAAACAACGATAGGCTCGTTTCAATCAGCTGTTCGCCATTCATGCCATTCACAGAGAAACTAAGGTAAAATGAATACACTGTACTTTAGGTTTGAAGCTTGGATTTATTCAAGATTAATTTCTATTACAAGTTATATTTGTATGATCCGAAGAAATGCTCCTTGGCTTTGCGCCGTTGTCGTGTTTGCATCGCTTGGTATTGCTAAATATATTATAAAGTATATTTTTATTCTCGTTTTAGATGTGCAGACTGTCCTCCTCTTCCTCCTTAAGTTCACGCTTCTGTTCCTGCTCAAGAACCTGCTTCATTTCGGCCTTCTCCAGGTGACGTTTGTGGACTCCAGACCGGAAGTGGGTGCTCAGGTGGGTCGGCAGCATAAAGGACTTGTCGCACAGTTCACACCTTTAATTAGAAAGGGAAAATTACAATTATACTGTGGCAGTAGGATAATGTCTGATTAGTGGCATGTATTCTAATTGTTTTTTTCCAGTTGACTCCTTGATTTATGAGTTCCGTCTTACCTATAGGCCCGCTCTCCGGAATGTATTAGCATGTGATTTTTAAGGATGTAGCCCGTAGTGAAAGCCTTGCCGCATGTGCCACAAACGTAGGGACGCTCGTTGGTATGGGTGCGCTCGTGCTTCACGCGGGTGGTGTAGTCGGTGAAGCACCGGCCGCAGTACTGGCAGGCGAACGGTCGCTCCCCTGTGTGCTTGCGCATGTGGCGCTTCAGCTCGGAAGTAGTGCAGAAGCGGGATTGGCATAGTCTACGAAAAAAATTCCAATCCAATCAGACTGCACCAAAAAGGACAAAGATACACTTACTCGCAGCCAAACTGTTTGTCTCCACGATGACGGCGGCAGTGGAGTTCAAAGGCCATGCGACCCTTGATGTGGTTGCCGCACTGGTCGCATATGTACACTCCTCCGGTGCCACGACGACGTGGATCATCCGAACGGACCTTTGGCTTTGGCGGCAGATTGCACTTCTTTACCACAATGCTCTCCTGTTCGTACTCATCATCCAGCACGTTATCCAGTACGGCCACCTCATCATCGGAGTCATAGACATACGAGTCGTTCACATCGCCCACAATCAGCTCTGTATCCTCGTCCAGCTCCAAGGTCTGCCCTTCTTCCTCGCCCATGATCGATTCGTATTCGGCCTCCTCAATCAAGGAGGCTCCATCATCGCCGCCAGCATGTCCCTCGGCCACTTCGTAGTAGGTACTCTCGTATTCCACCTTGGTATCGACGATCTCCTCCTTGGGCTCCTCAAGGACGATTTCCTGGTAGGTGGCGAAGACTTCTTCATCGTCCGGCGGCTGGTACTTTTTTACTGCCTCGGTAATATCCTCGCCCATGACGGCTGCGCGGTAGAAAGGCGAGATTCCTTGGCGCTGTTCCTCGGTCAGCTGCATGAGCAACTCCCGTTGGGCGGCGATGCAACGCTCCCTCAGTTTTATCGCAGAGGCCAGTTCCATACTACAGCACTCGCAGATCTGGTCCGGCAAGCAACCATAGTTCTCCAGCTACAAATAAAACAAGGAAGGGTTTTATCTCTAGAAAAATCCTGTATATCGATAGTGGAAAATTTACTCGAAGGCCTGTGAGCGCCTCAATGTTGTCAATCGTCTTTGTGTTGGTCCGGTCGAAAATCTTTGGCGACCGCTTGTTGCTCGCATACTTTCCGCACACGCGGCAAGTGCTCTTCAGGTGTTTCAGCGCAGATTTCGACATTTTGTAAGTCGCAATCCGAAATTAAATGATTTTTTAAGACAATCAGAACACAAAATAAAACGCGTCGCTTGTCAACTGCATTTGACATTCGCCCGGAAGTGCGCTGTTCAGGCTGCCATTCGCCCCGAATGACGACAGTGCCGTAGTAAAGAGTTCGAATTGAAGTATTATTATTATGTTTATCCTTTTTAATATGCTTATGTTTTCTTGGAAAAAAGTATTTTATATTTATTTATGTATATTTAATTAAAAATCAATGGATACAAATTTCTTAATATAAATAAAAAGCATGTTGGGATACTAGTATTTTAAGACGTTGTTCTAAAAATGGAATGTCAACAGCACTTTCGAGTAGGTACAGTTATTCGCCTATTTGCGACCCCCATATTTTCGTGCCTACGCCCATGGCAGCTAGCAAACAGCTGTCTGGAATGCCGACAACAACAACCACGACGCTATGGCGAACTTGGAATGGTATTTCTATTTATTTTTCCCGAAAAAAAAACAAATAATTGTTGATAAATAATGCATCTGACTGCAGGGTGTGCGTGCCACGATGCTACGAGGTCCGGAAGAACCGCCTGGCTGGCCAGGCCACGTTGGATCATCCACTGAAGCAAAGGACTGTGACGGTGGGTAAATGGTTACGCCCCTATTCCTAAACTAAAGTGCAAATATTCACCAGGTAGTAGACAGTAATCCCTTGGCCAGGGCTTTGGAGGGCACGGATCCACTCTCGCAGTTTGCCCGCCAAGACGAGGAACTCAATGATCCACTGACCCAAATGGTTAACGAATTCGTAAGTAGAGCGGCACTAAAAAAAGATTTTGGACTAAACATTTTGCATCCGGTCAACAGGACATCAAGTCAAAGCGGCGGGAGCGGGATAGAGTGGAACCAGAAGACAACACGCTGCAGTGGAGCAGTCGTCGGCTGGGCATACTTAACCGCTTTACCACCAACGAGAAGCTATCGCTTTCCACCAGCTTTTTGGTGGCATCCGGAAGTTTAGACGGTGGCAGTGACAGCAGTAGTAAGTCCGTCGGATTTGAATATCTATTTCATGTTACTAATCTCAATTTTAGTCAAAGCCCAAACCGTGGTGGCGGACAAAACGAAGTACCGTCTGGAGCAGTTGGATCATTTCGATGATGGCAGCATGCGGCACATGATGGATCTCACGCAGCAAGAGTACATTCAGCGCTTTGAGCAACTCAAACAGGAGCTCATCCAGTCCTGGCACAACGATCAGCGGGTCAAGGCCCTCAAGATTGCTATTCAGTGTGCCAAGATGCTGGCAGACACCACTGTGCTGCAGTTCTATCCGAGTCAGTATGTGCTCATCACGGATATTCTGGATGTTTTTGGAAAGCTGGTTTATGAACGGTTGCGGACCAAGGCTTCTGGCGATCCTGCAGCCTCGGCGGCTATGTTGGAGCGAGAGCGAGAGGCTGCCAGGGACACTTGCCAGAATTGGTTTTACAAGATCGCATCCATTAGGGAATTACTTCCACGACTTTACTTGGAGCTCTCTATATTCAAGTGTTACGAGTTCCTGACATCTTCACGCGAGGAATACGAGCGAATATTGCAAAGATTGACCCATCAGTTGAGGGGTATAGCTGATCCATTGGTATCCAGTTATGCCCGCTGCTACTTAGTTCGCATGGGCGTGACACTTACGCCCAGTAAGACATACATAAGGGAGAACTTTAGCGATCTGTTCATAATATATCCTCAGGTGAGTGTGATTATTTAAAATAAAATTTGTATGGCTATCTAAATTTTGTTTATAGATCTTTCGCTTTGTGGCTCGCTTCAACCTGCATCCGGAAATCGTCACTGCCAGCTCCTACCTACAGCTATATGCACCAGCCTTCGACTATATGCTGCTCTGCCTGGTTCACAAATGCGAACTGCACACGCAAGATATGCTCAACGAGTGCAAGCAGCTGAAGAACAAGTGGGTAATATTCCTTTGTAAGCTGTCAGTTATAACTTTTTATTGTATTTATCCACAGCGGGGCTATTTTGATGTCAATTCTTAGTTCCTTCAAGCCAGAGTTTATTGCCACAAATGCATTGGAATTCATAGAGTTAATAAACGCTTCCGATACGCCTGGAATCTCCAAGTCCCAGTTGCTACGCTCCCTGGGAAGCAGCGTTAGCAGCTGCGCTCCTCTGCAGGAGCAGCGGATTTCCTTCTTGAAAGCCGCTTTCGAAACCATCAACAAGTTGACGGATCCTAATGAGTATATCAACTGTGTGGAGACTTGGGCCGTCTTCGTTTCTCAGTACTTTACTGTAAGCTTACAGCATTATCTGTTAGTTTTGTTTGAGTTTTAATTATTTTTAACAGGTACACGAGGTTAACCGACTGTTGGGCGAACTGAATGCGCGCATGTGCCTTGGCAAAGCCTATGAAAAACACTATTCCCAGTTGCAGAACATCTTAACTAAAATAATGCAAAACTACCGCAGTATTGAGCTCCTACTTATCCAGCTAAACTTTCTGCCCTACTTGGATCTCTTTCAAAAAGAATCGGTTCGTGTGGAAGTGTGTAAGAACATTCTTAGTTTCTACAAACAGAATAGTGAGGAATACACCTGCGATGCTGTGGTCACGAACGCCCTTATGTATCTCGGGAAGATTTTGAATGATTCTGTCAAGTGAGTAATTCATTAAATTGCAAATATATTGTGTAAACTAAGATTGATTTTATTTATCCAGTGCTTTGACCGTAGAGGATGAGCGGCGCCAGATTTCCCAGCTTATAAATGTCTTTATCCACAAAGTTAATTTTGGAAGAGACTTGGAGCAGCAACTTAGTTTTTATGTGGAGGCTCGTGGAACATTTAGCAACCTAGATGCAGTTTATGTGACACTTGTCCAAGCAGCCTGCAAGTTAGCCACCCGGAATCGCTCGAAGTCAACGGGTTTTGTCAAGGCATGCATCGCCTACTGTTTTATTACCATTCCCAGCATAGGAGCTGTCCAGCAACAAATGAACTTGTATTTGCTATGCGGTCAACTTGCACTGCAGCACCTTTGCCTGGGGCAGGGTCAGTATTTAATCACATTTTGGTTGTAATTTTTAATTGATTTTACTTTCCATAACAGCTGATGCTTGTTTTGAGGCTGCCTTGCATTTGGTAAATGAGCTGCCGGCAGCCACCGTGGACCTTGACGGAAAGCCGCGTAGCTTAGAGCGATTCTTGGTCTCGTACATGTGCAACGTGTTGGCTACTTTGGTCGTGGTTCCGGATAGTCCGGAACAAGGGGTCCTGTATTTCCTACGGCTCCTACTGGAGGTGATTGGCAGACATGAATTCAAGGCGGACAGCACGGCGCCGTGTATTATTTATCTGCATTCCTTAGATATGCTTTATGTGCAAAGCCTGGAAAAGTTTCCCTATCACATCAAAGGCGGTAAGAGTAACACATTGAATACAACTCTATTTTATTGTAACCTTTACCAACTTTACCCGCACCACAGTGGTTTCAAATGACGATTTGTATGGCCACGATCCCAAATTTTTGCAAGAGATAAACAATTTGTGTGCACAGGTGGTCGATGCCATTCTTCTCCAGCTCAAAGCACTGGGCGCGGCGCAACAACAACGATCACAAGCTGAGCTAGCTTTGGAATTGTTTTTACGGATCGTGAGATACGCTGACTTGGAGAAGGAATCTGTTGCGCAATTGGCAGTCAACCTTTGGCACCTAGCCAATAAGGCTCAATCTCAACTGGATGTTAAGACTCTAGTATGTTTAATTGTTTCTTTGATTCATGTCAGATTCATTCAAAATATTATTTCAGCCGCAGACTCTACGCAGTGTGGAGCTGCTGTACAAACAAGTAAAGGATGCCTCAACTCCACAGGCTCAGGCTATTGCCAAACTACTCATGCGCATGCGCAACAGTTGAAAATCGAGCTAGTAGAAACTAATGCTAACCGCTGAGATTATATATTTTTTGTGTATAAATCTTTTACGGATTTACTGCCCGGTTTTATCCTGCGTTTGCGCTTTTGAACCTAGCAAGGAACTGACAAGATTTGTATTACATTTCTGTGCAATTACGAGTATGTTAGAGCGTTTAAAGACTTGATTAAAATTTTGACGTGTAATTTCGTGATGTGCGCCTCAAATATTTAAGAAAAAACTCCTTAAAGGCGGGAAATATTAAATACATAGATGGTTTCATTTAAAATTAAGTAAAACGACTTTTTTATGGTGTTTGTAAAAGCGCAGTTTCCCAATGCGTTTATTTTATTATGAATTGCCTAGGCCCTGTTTGACCAGTCCACTCGACAACTTAAGCTGTGCGTTACCAAGTTTATACGCTGCCGCCTTGTAAAAATTGAAATGGCGCCAATTCACATTATTGCTGGTGTAAAAGTGGCATATACATTGAATTATGATTGAGAGTGTAAAAATACGATGTACATTTGTGTATTCTTAATCTTTTTGGTAGTTTAAAACATTTGAGGCATTTCTGTCGTTTGCAGTTTACAAATAAATGGCTAAAAAACTATGGCTGACAAATGAGAGTACCAAATTATAGTCAACAAACTTTTGAGAAATCTTCATATATGCATATTAAAGATACATGTGATATAAATCACTACGTATATATACTTATGTAAATCTATATATGTAGTATGTGTACATATGGGTACTTCCTGGTCAAATGTATTAACAATTTAGGGTATTAACTTAATAGCATTTAGGTGACTTTGCAAGATAAAAACTAAATAAAACGATTCGTTATGATAGACTAGCAAGCAGTGAAATAATCAAACTTAAATCTGTATTTGGCAAAAATCGATGTTTTAATTGATATAACAAAATATTACAGTTTCTGCGAAACTTTTTTGTTTATAAAAATCCAGTAACAAAAACTTTAATTGAGACCCTAAATAGGATCGGTTCTACGTAGAAGTACCCATACAAATGTGAGTGAGAAAAATGTATAAAAAGCTTAGTCTGCAGTCTAGAGTTTTCTCCTTTTAGAAATTCGTCTCCTTAAATTCCTTTGATTGCAGCACGGGGGAAACAGCTACTCCCTCGCCGGTGTCGTTCCCATTATCGTGATCTTCGCCACCGCCCACCGTGTAGGCCATCACAGTGGCGTGATCCAGTTTTCCGGGCAGTGCCACAAAAGCGCTGCTGTCCACCACTCGCTTCCTGGCCGCCCGATGCTGCATGCGATTCAGCTGCACCTCCCGCTTGGCCCCATCCGGACCGGTCGACAGCTTGTAGAAGAGCTCCCTCTGCTCCAGGGTCTTTCTCCTGGCGGAGGTTATCATCCTAACGAAATCGATGAGCAAATGGCAGAGTCTCCGAGCCGAAACACAAGGCGAGAAGGTTCCGTTTATGCCGTAGCTGAGCAGATCCTCCAAGCGGTACAAGGTGAGAGCATGCCGCTGAGGACCCGTCACCAGTGGGAGCCCAGATATGGACTTCGGAATGCGCCGGGGAGCCACTGAAGGTGGTGGAGGCGACGCCAGTCCCTGGCGTGGTTCAATGAGCGTCTGGGAACGCATGTACTTCGGTCGACTGGGAGCGTTGCTGGGCGGACTGCCCGCTTTCGACTGGCGAGCAGGTCGCGTGGGCGGCGTCGAGGGATGCAGGCGGGCATAGATGGCGGATGCGCTCTTATTCTGCCGCTTGGGAGCCAGGATCCCGGGTTTTGCATGCCCTGCAGACTGAAGCTTCACATCTGGCGTCCAGGCCTCGGCAAACTTGCCCACCACGGGATCGAAATTATCGCTGATCCCGTCCGAGGTGAGAAACACTATGTCGCCTTTTTCGATGCAAGTCATCGAGAAGGTAAGATTACTCAGCTCCGGCTTGTTGCCATCCGCCGGTCCGAGGGCTCCCAGAGCGTCGCGCATATCCCGCATGGAACTGATGTCGTGGGAGGCCTGCGTCAGCTCCCGAACTCCGTGCCTCTTCGAGTACACGTAGCCCAGGGAATCGCCCACGTTGCAGGAGCAAACGACATACTTGCCCGGTGCTTCGTCCAGCGGCAGCACCACGGCAATGGTCAGCGTGGACAGGGCGCCGCCCACCTCCAGGATGCAGCCGTGCCCCTCCCACAAGCTCCGCAGCAGACTGACAAACACCTCTTGAGTTGTCGTCGCCCTGCACTCCAGTGCCTGACCAAACACAGCCCTGTCCAGATAGTCCAGACAGCCGTGGACAGCCGAACGGGCCGCCAGACGAGCTCCATCTCCCCAGTTGACGCCATCTGCCATGGCCATGGCTGCTGAGTCCCCGCGCACCACCATCCCGTAGCAGTCGGCGATGGGATTGCCCATGGGCTCCTTGGTCAGCATGTTCGTCTCGTAAAGAGACACCGAGATTCCATATGCAAAATCACATTCCATGCGCCAGTTCTCCACGCCGGCGACCACGGTAGCTGGAGCGGCGCCACCCTGGTTGCTCACCGCCTCGCGGAGCAGGCGTTCCCGCTCCGAGTTGGAGTCCCCATCCGTCGAGGCCTCAGTCTTTGCATTCAACAGATTTCTGTTGTTCTGATCGCTGGCCGCCTTGCCAGCATCTCCTCCAGCAGCAGCCGCCGCCAGATTCGCTATGCTGCTCTTGGAGTTCTTGCGGGAACGCATTCCCGAAGCTGGAACGGATCCGGACGGCTGCTCCGTGCTGCTCTGTCTCCGGGATCCAGTCGGCGGGCGTCCAAACTTGCTGGCCAAGCGTGTGGAATTATGTGCGGTCACTGGAGCAGGCGGGGTGCTCTTCCTCACGCCGTAGCAATCATCGTTCTCCTGCTGCGTGTCTATGAAGTCTATGTCGTCCGCAAAACTGGTGCTCAGATGAAGCTTGGACCGCTTGATGCCGGTGAGTCCTTCATCCGGTCCAGTGCAGGCGGCGGTGATTGAGCAGGTTCCAGCTTCGTAAGTGTCCAGCTTGAGCACGGGCAAGTCTGTGGGATTCTGACCATTGTAGATCTCCGGACCATCAACAAACTGTCGCTGCATGCGGCTAAACAGATGAAGGATACGGGTAAACATTTTAGAGGCCCTCCAGAAGCCTGCAATTTTAGAAGTATTTACTCACCCCTCGAGATATTTGGTAATGAAGCTGCCGTCGTCATCGTCGTGCTCGCTGGCCCGCCGGCGACCCTCGCGAGGCTCCGCGATGAAGCTCAGCTGCCGGAAGTAAGTGGTGACCTTCTGGCGCAGCGAAGGCATCTTCAGCTAAGTGGCGCCCTCCTCCTCCTCCTCCTCGCCCTTCAATTAGGGTTGTCTTAATTGCCCGAGATGCAGGGGCTGAAAATGGATGCTGGGTGGATGCGCTGACCAGTTCGTTCACCTCATCAGCGGCAATTGCTGTGGGAGTTGAGTCACTCCAGTCACTCCGGCAGCAAACACTGAAAGGAGAGTTTAATTTAGAGCTTCATTTAATTATCAATAAATTATGCAATTAAACGGGCGGAGCAAACACGAAAGAATTACAAGCAAATTGCAGTGGCAGCCGCATAACTGACATTATTTCTCCCCCCACTGGAGGCCAGCTCCTAATGACGGGATGTGCTTTTTAGTTGCCGCAGGCTCTGCATCCTTCCCTGGCCACACACAGAACCCTTCGTCCGTCAGGAGCAGGCAGTCAGTCGGGGTGGAAAGCCAACCCTGAATGGGCTTTCAGTCAACTCATTGCGAATGCAGGAGACACTGATGCGGACACAGAACCCCATCCTTCCTTCGGGCTTCGGATGACATAGCTTTTAACGCAGCTCTCCGCATGTGAGCTAAGCCAGTGATGCCAATTTGAACCCTTGCCAAACAAATTTCGAAGTGTATTTGATGGATATAAATACATTCCTGCTTATTAAGCTAAGATTTAATATACTACCCATTCATACATAATACTTAATTTTTCCTGGAGTAAAGTGATAACCCGAAATGCTAAAAACTTAAAAACTGCTAAACTTCAAATCGTCCTGCCATTAAGTGAATTATTGTCATCACTGATGATGATGATTAATGAATGGGCAAACCAACTGAATGCCTGGGGTGACCTGCAACTCCAGCAGATGTTGGGTTTTCAAATTCTGACAGCTTCAAGTTCTGTTTCACCGGAAAGATGATATCATATGGGGGAGAAACAAACGGAGAAATATGCTGGCGAGGAACACATCCAGGTGAGGTATAAAGTTATATAACTCACAGAGATCGTAGACGACTTTTAATTGCCGTATTAGAGCCATCAACTACCTGATCCATTCACATAGACAATGCACAACCACAATTATCTTTCCTCGGCGGGATTACAATGGATGGCAAGCACAATAAATGATAATCTTCAACAGCAATTGCTGTGGAGATGCTTTTCTTTAGACCCTGTACACAAAACGATTTATATAAATCACGAACAACAACGAGAGTCGCCACTGAAAGTAGTTCCCTTGACGGGGCAATTATTAAAGACGATTCGCAGTTGTTGCTGAAATTTTCACAAGTGCTTGAAAAACGTAAATAAAAATAAAAAGTACAATAAAGCACTTAAATTTATGGCACGAGCACTTCGAGTGACAAATGAGAGGTCCATTAAAAACTGTGTCGATTAGCGGTGAGCTGTGTGGGTTAGCGCCTTTCTATGAGATATTCACAAAAGGCAGCACTTGAACCTTGAACCAATTGCCCTCTTGATCGAGTCTCGCTGAACTTGGACTTCACTCACGAATCAATCAGCGGGTAATGTAATTCAATTGAAATCCGATGGCCACGAGATGCGCGACTTCTTGGCAACTGGTGTGCGCTGATCTGATTGCCACCACACCCGCATTCCTTGTGGCCGAGCACTGAAATCAAATTAACCCAAATAACCAGCGAGTGGGGAAGGGAGGAGATCCATTCCCATTACCATATCCACTTTTCCAAGATACAAATCAAATGAATTGAAAACTCAGTGACGAGACAGAGTCTGTTGATGGACGAAAGGATTGGAGAGTGCGGTTCACGTTCGGAGCGCAGATGTGGTTATACTATGTATGGCATGTCTTTCTGTGGGCGCATTGAGCCGCAGCCAGCTGGGTGCACTCGATGCCGGCCCCTGGCAATCAATCCGGACGATTGAAATGCCCACCTCCGCATCGCCGCAAAACAATTCAATTTGGCCGCAACAATGTGCAATTTGCGATTAAATGTGCAGCCGAAGAGATTACAACTGCACCGCAAGAGGCAACATCCAACATCCAAGCTCAGCCGCAAGCGTTTTGTAGTTCCCATCTGCCACCGCTCCAATTTCTTTCTTTCTGCCAGCTCTTGGCGCACTCACGTCAATCAGAGTCATCACCAAGATGATCATCACTTGACACACAAAGGGCATCTCAATTCGTTGAGCTTTTCTCTAGCTTTGCTTTGTGGGTGCTCACTAAATATTTAAGATCTGGCTATTGTCCACCTGCCAGCACGTGCTGAGAAAATTAATAGGGTTTACAGAAAGATTTGGGATGAATAGAAATTCCAATCTTGTTTACAAAGAAATAGCCTTTGATTTAACTAGGAAATTTTAAAGCTAAACAAAGTTTTCTACTCCACATTATTCAATCAATATAACATATTAATTTTTTGTTTATGAATTTATGCCATTAAAGACACTCCTTCAATATTAACAAACAATTCCTGAACCGTTTGCCGTAATCAATCGACGCTTCTCCCGAATCCCAGACCATCGAAACTTTCAACACCCGAAACTAATCAAGCGTGAAAATGTGGAACTCGTAACGAGGTATTGTGAGATCATTGTGCAAGATTTGGGTGGGGCGATTGGTAGTGTATAAAATCAACTGTGTAAATATTATCGGATGTGGCACAGATCTCGTGAGTCGCTCGAACTTTGTTTATGTTCGGAAACCAAAATAAACCATTTGGGCTTCCTCCGACTATAAATAGTTTCCGTCGGCCTGTATTAATAGCTGCCACCCGTCAGAAGGTTGAGAATTTTTTGCGGTTTTCGCTCGAAAGATTTATTTAGTGCGACTTCGAATGCATTCTTCGCCGGCTCTCAAATCAGATATTTCTCTGTGAGTTAATCAGATGTGCGGAATGTTTGTTAACCCACTGGGTTAATTAGATGTGAAGGTTTCTCCACTCCCCGGAGAGAATCTTTTATGTTCGTTCGGCTTTGTGCATATTAAAATGTGTGTGGATTTAGGAGGGAGATGTGCTAAAGCCCCGAGCAAACAAATACATCTTTGGAGGTCTGAGCTCCAACCAAATGCAAACAGACCCACGACAGACTGACTATGCACTTGAAACATTTTGAAAGCGACGACGAAGTGACAACAAGTTGTCTGCAGATTATGTGCTATATAGTATGCTGCGGAATCTCAAGGTGCAGTTGGTGGGCCAAAGCCAAAGCCTTAGCACAAGTCAAGTGCAGCGGCTCAAAGCCGTTTTTGTGTCTTTCTGTTTGGGCCAGACAACAAACAGCAAGAAGCTATAAAAGCAGAGACACGAAAGTGAAAATTCGTTGCATTCATTGCGTGTTTTCCTCGAAAGAAAGTTTAAGGCCGCTAAGCTGGAGATTAAATAGAGCTGTCTGCTTTCTTGTGAGCTGCCAAATATTTCAGACATTTTACGCGAACCATTTGTCTTGTTTCTTACTATAAATTTCTTTTCTTCGCTGGGTTATTTATGGTATTGGTTAATGGTCTTACCCCTACTCCTCTGAAAACTCACGATAACATATTGCTATTAAGTTTATAGTTATTATAAATAAGAACAAAACCGGTTTAATGAACCACAGACCCAAGACAAGTGCCGACCGCAGGCAATATTGAAAAAAAATCAAAAGCAAGCTTTATTTTAATTTCCTCATTTGCAATATTTTTCCATTTCAGTCCGGGCTTATCAAGCCATATGAGAAAATAAAATATTAAGTAGCAAAGACATAAAGCAACACATGTGGGGCTGCAATTCCATGCTGTAAAATATAATAGATGGAGTACTTGTTCCCCAAACCCTTGAATTCTTTTCAAAAAACAGAAAAGCTTTTGGCTTTTACCTTCCCCCAGGTGTTGACTCATTGGACAAGCTGTCAGCTGCATAAATAATGCATTAGACCCGACCCCCAGGCTGAAAGTGCACCACGAGCCCGGTGGGGCCAGTTGGACCTGGGGCTTCATTAAAATCTGGCAATTAAAAGTTGTACATAATGTAAACCGCACGAAAACAATCACAAAGGAGTTCCTTCACCTCAAAGTGGCTTCGTGTACATGGCGTGATGTACGGAAAAACGAAGGGGAGCGGAGAGGTGAGGGGGTCTCTTCCCGATTCCCGAAACATTTCTTATAAATTGCCACCTAATTGGCGTGTTCAGCATTTTTGCGGTGCGTGGTACGTGGTACGCCTCGTTTCCTGTTGCAACAATTTGCATTAATGGGGTCTTTCCTTTCCAATCTCCTCCCCATCTCGCAATGGATCTATAAATGCAACTGCATCTCGGTCCCATTCAATTGACAGCGCGATGAAATGGAAAGCTATGAGCCCTTTGGGGTTGAATGTGTGTCAAAAGTTGAGAAACATCCTTTGTTTTATGTGCCTCACACTTTCGAGCAACGCCAGGAGCTACTGGGGATTCACTTAAGACCTCCCAATCCCACCCAGTTTTCCCCGATGCATTTCCGCTTGCATGCTTTCCTTGTTTTTCCGCTTTTGGGGTCGCGCTACTTGGCCCGGTTTTCGAGGCACGAAAAACTACATTTATTTGGAGAACTTGCCACAAGCCGAACACAATAAACCAAATGTGGGGCAAGGCGAGAAATTGGGCTTAGAAAAGCGATATCAAAGGAGTGCCCATCGGGTTTATTGCTTCGGGTCGAATGCAGAATTAAGGGTAAACTCTTTTTTTAGCTTTGGAAAGTTATCTCTTTTAAACATCTGGCAGCAAATTACACTTTTCCACCAATCCATTAACACTTCAGTTGTGCTTTGAATCTGTATAATTACGGAAAAGCTTTTCCTCTGCATTTGATTAATTGGTTGTTTTTGGTTTGGCAAACATCTGGCGGAAAACATAATACCGTCCGATGCCACCAACTATCCCCACACACATTTGGCAAGCCCACAAAATAATTTGCATAAATTGAATTGAAGCCTTTACATGGCAGCCAGGTAGCGACAGCTGTCGTCGATTTATGTAGGACTTATATACGACTAATCCTGCATGAATAAATTAAACGGGAAGCCTCAAGTAAGTCCGTCTGGCTTGGGGATCGGTCTGGGGTTTGGCCTTTGGTTAAGACTTGTTGCCAGGCATACAAATAAGCCTAATCAAACTCCTGGGGGCTGGCACTCCATGCAAATCAAGAAACCAGCAACCGGTCTGTGTTGGATAGAGACGGGCGGGTTTTTGGGGCAGGAACCGGGCACTCAACTCACATATTAAATTAAATGTTGCTGGCAACAAAGACAATTCAAACGAAGTCAAGGCCCGGGCCAAAGAACTGCGGCAAACAAAGAAACACCAACTTCTCGACTCGACTGACCCGCGGCAATTGAGCAACCGTCAAGCCACTTTGTCTGCCCCTGATACCCAACCCACATCTCTTGGCTCCTGTCCACCCATCGAATCTCTACCCCACCCCAAGGTATCTCCGGATAGTATTGCAGTCTTTGGTGTCAAATAGCTGTCCACTGAGGGACTTTTCAGTGCTCCATTCGCTGTGTTTGTCAGGTGGTAAACGAGCAATGTGAAAATTTTGGAAGTGGAACTTTTTCCGCTAGTAAAAATCTATAGTAAATATTCTGTAAAGGTAGCAACTGATGTCTATCATAAAGTAACCCATTGTTTATGGATCCTTTCGAAGGGAATAAATTTTTTTTTTATTCTATGATGTCTGTTTAAAGGAGCTTTTACTGTACTAGACCTTGCAGCGGGTTAAGTGACCGATTGGCTGTCAGACCCCTTACACCTCCAACTTCTAGTCTTAATTTGAATTTTATTCGGTTTCGTGTGGTGGCCAAACGCTTTGGTGGTTCGCTTAGTCATATCACTTGGCTGACTAATCATGGGAGACGACGTGTGCTCGGCGAGAAACCCTAAACCCCAGATATGCCCCTTCTAATCCAAATCCCCTCCCCGAACCCCAGACAGCTGCAAATTCAATGAACTCTTGGTGCTGTTGACTTTGCTGATTAATTGGAAATTGGCGAAATGTTATTTATTTTTATATGGCTGGTCTATCGAAAATTGATGCGTTCATCAAAGGCAAAAAGTTCTATAAATGTTGCCCGTTAAATTGGTTTAAATGAGCCGGAAACTTTTTGAGCTTGGATTTTTGTGGGATTTATCGGATGGGATGAGGGAGAAGCCACTTATTGTCCCTGGTTTTAAACCAACATGGAAATCCTATACTAAGACAACTCCTCCAGTAGCTGGATAATGCATTATAGAAGAATGAACTCATTCTTCCTCGGTCGAGCAAACAAACTTCAACTTGCCCGGACCAACTGCGTCATAAAAGAGCCATCGGCATCGCCATTCGCCATCTCCGTTTCCAGCGAGACAACAAAGGACGGAGCAAGTCAAAATGGAGGTGGAGTCGCTGGGAAACCCGCCAGCTGAGGATGGAGTCCAGACAGAACAACTTCATGCAACCCCATCCCCTGGGAAAAGCCAGACGGCAGCCAGGAGCCTGTGTTCGTGGACGTGCTCCTCGGCAGCTCTAAATAAAAAGATGCCGGCAGAGAACGTAAAACGTAGAAACAAAATATTTTCCCAATGTGCAAGCATAGTTCAGAGTTAGTTTCTGGGAGAACGGCACCACCATCATAACCACCAACTACACCACATTCCCCACCAACGACAAGAAGAGTTGTGAAAATTCTCTGGTTGCCAGGCGAAAGTGATTCAATTCCTGGGGATTTTTCCCTTCGCCAGTTGAAATTTTTGATACGTGGTTTGAATTAAATATGGGAAGATGTTTATTGTAATAGAAGTTTGCAGATAAATAACATAAATAATATATTGACTATGATGTGTTAAAAAACTTTTTGAGATAGTAATTTAAGTACTTAATTATAATTCAATTTTCATGTTTTTAGGATATTGTTCAAGCCAAAAATGTACAACTATTTATCCAACTTATCACTTTAATACGTGCTTGATTTATTATTGGATTATAAAAACTGTATTGGAGGGAAATGTATACCTACATATGTACTTGTTGGGAAGCCCCTGCATTACGCTTTAAGTTTCCCTAAAGTTGAGGTATTATGCCGATTTCTAGTACATTTCTGTTTTATAAGGCTTTAAAGTTTGTTAGATACGTAGATAAGTAATCTAAGTATCCAATTTGTTTACTAATGGGGCAGGCGTACTGCTGGTTACCATACTGATGCAATCGCCCTAGAAGTGTGGTAGGTAATCCATGTTCCCAGTTGGAAATCAACCCAAATAAGAGTGAAGCTTAGATTCGTTATCTGGTTGCTGCTTGCCACATGCATCTAGAGTGTAGATTCTAGTTCCCCCAAAATAAATGTCCTTGTTTCCCCCTTTAATTTACAGCTTATATCCGGCATGTTTTACGCCCGTTTGATTTTTGCCGCAGTTTGCGCAAGAAGTCGTGAAAACGCAGAACGAGTTGAATGTTCCCATTGGCATGCCCAATCCCACCCATTCAATTCCCTTTTTGTCGCCCCCTTTTCTTTTTCCTCCGATTTCCAGCCAGGCGCCATCACGTGTCGGCTTTTCTCCAAGGTATTGGGCTTCGTGGAGAATCGATTTTGTGGGCTGACGAGCCTGTTATCCTTGGAGCGAGTGCTTTTGGCCTGTTTCAGGACACCAGCATGGCCCACAGCAATTGCCTGCTGCATGTCCGAACTATTGTAATAAAACTTATGCTAGATACACTAAGAAAAAAATCGAATTTTTAAATCAAATAATTTATTGTGATATCTTCATTTGTTCATGGTTATCAGTTGAAAGCTAGCATCGGCCATATGTAAGGACTTTCCTAAAGACCTCGGGTATAATTTTATAAAGATTTTTTTTCAGTGCTTGAGTGGGAGCAAGAGCGAAAGAGAAAAAGGAAGCTTCAGTCATATGCAACTGAAGTTGGCAGGCGAAAAGGTAAAAATGAATGACTGACATTATAAGTGGAAAAGTTTTTGCCTACTTCTTCACTGCGCCAAAATTGACTTCCTGGCAAAAACACAATAAATTAGCAAATGCTCCCCATTTAAAAATTATCGCTATTTTTCATAGTCATCCACATTACTTAGTCTTTAATTATATGGGTAACGAAGCGATAAAATATGCCAAACGAAAAACAACACCAGTTATTAGCACAGTTTCGAAATACGATAAAGCTTGGAAACCGGTTATTGCACTAACGAAAGCTGATTTTTGTTGTTGTTGGAGCAGCTGAGATTTCGCAGCTGCCCGTGAAGTTGAAAACGAAAATAAAACAAACGACAGGTGAATCAACAGAGGTACAACCACCCGCCCCACCCACATTTTGGTGGGGCGAAGAAGTGGAGAATAAAGACGTAAGCCCAGTTGAATGGAAAATCAAGGCGAACGCACACGGAAGCAAAACAAAAGTCGACAAAAACACGGCGAAGGCGGCAAGAACTTTTGGGGGCCACAAAAAACAGAAAATCAATAGATCTTTGAAATATTATTACGATATGCATTCACTTACAAAAACTATGTCCCAGTATCGGCCTCTGTTTTTCCTGCTTTTCTTTTCTGTTTTGGGTTGTTGTTTTCTTATCGCTGCTTTGCATATGTTGGCGCCACTAGCAAAGTAAAATATGTAAGTGCGTGCGTTCCGTTGGTGGTGTGTATAAATATTTAACAATTCAGAGGGGGTGGTTCCACCGCCCAGAACTTAGTCTTTCTGAATGAAGCTTGTATTAAACATTGACTTTACTCGAGTTGCACAGGCCCGTTTATGTATTGCACTTAAGGTTTGTTTTGTCGCCAGTTGTTGCCACTACGAAACCGAGAATATAAAAGTTATTTTTCCGGTACTCCACGCGCGAACCCAACGTTATTCTTCGAATCTTGACGATATTATGTTTAGTCGTCTTCTTCCCGAGCGGCCACCGAACGTTAACAGACTGAACCCGAACCAAACGACTTAACAGTCCGCTGGAGGCGCTGTCTCCATACTAGCTCTCCACGTTAGCCAAAGAAAAATACCATAAAATAAAATACCAAAGTACAAGAAAATGATTTTTTCAGAATTTTTTAAGGGATTGTTGAAGCGCCCGCCGTGCGGTCACATTATCGCTATTTCTTCAGCATTTCGCGGGATCTGTAATTTTTTATTGGCGAATATTTTGCGTGGTTTTACGAATTACATTGACATTTTAAACGACAATCAACCGATTTTACTGCCCACTGCTTCAAAAGCAATAGTTTTAATCGAAGAACGAGTAAGTTTCCACGAATTAACAGTTAAATGCCGATGCAAGCTCACACGCACACTTATGCAGACATACCAGCGACACGCGAATTTGCGAATTTCGTTTTGGCCTGTTTTGTGTTTTCGCCGTTGCTGCTGTGTTGTTTGTGCTTAACATTAATTAATTGTCGCAACTTCTGTTTCGCTATAAATATGCGAAACGTGCTGTGGTTATCTGCGTTAACTAAATGGCCAATTGCGATGTGCCGGTGTTGGTGTAGTATTGGTGTTGGTATCCGCGTCAGTGTGTGTGTTTGTTGGCGCGGGCGAATGGCGGGCAATTGCACACTCTGACACGTTATTTTGCAAAGCGTTTATGCGACAGATGTTTTAATATTGTTTTTTATAGCTTTAGTGTTGAGTTTTTCATTGTTTTCTTTTAATATGGCTTGTTTGAGGATTCAAAATCATCAATGGTAAATTGTTGACTTTAAAGGCAACATTGAGTTGCTGAAACAAAAAAATAATTGTTAAATGTTTGTTGGTTCTTCGCTTTTCGTGAGTTCTGCTTGCGCATAAACGCGTAAAAGCGCGAAACAGACACAACGCACACACAGGTGAATGAACCTTTTTGCGTTGTTTTGTAATCACAATTTGTTGCTGGGCCTTCGAGCGGTGTGTAGGTTTTGTAATTGTTTTCAGCGGTCGAAAACAAAACACACACATGCTGTTTTCCCTTTACATTTTCTTAACTTTTCTATTGATCCTCGTTCTGTTTCTTTTCCTCCTTCAAAAGCTTTTAAAAGTGTCGCGTTTTCTGGACAATTTTTTTGCGGGTTCATTTGCATGTTTGCTTAATTTGTTTCCACAGCTCGGCAAATGTTAATGAACTCTCGTCAGGCATAAATTCGCAATACAATTTTTACAATATTGAATGCTAAATGGAATTTCATAAATGAGTGTCCATCGGTTATTTATAGATCACATGGTCTTTTTCACAAAAGAATTTTACAAGTTCCGTTAAAAAGCAGTTGATCCTTATTTTTACTTCTTGATTACTTACCATAAACCTAATAAGAAAAAACACAGTTTGTAAACGTTTTTAAAAGAAATTGTTTTCTTGTATTTAAATAAGTTGTCCTTGTTTTTGTTTTGTTTGTTTTAAGGCAAAGCGTTTGCATAAAAATACATCATCATACTTTTAGCATTTTGTTTGTGGTGGCTTCTATACAAGTACAATACGTTTTGTAAACCATTTGTCCTAAAGCACTAAATGATCTCATAACTGTACCACTGCAGCTCTAGATTCAATTCATTATGCTGTCATGACAAGCCCTAAAATTCTTCTACACCAACTGGATGCGGGGCAATGAATCGGGGAACTGAACTAAAGCTGAGGCATCTCATGGTTTTACCCTCTTCAAGCTGGTTGAATATCGCTAGCAGTATTACTGTAATATCTATCTGACTTCCGGTCAGCTATATCCCTCGGTTTTCCAGTTGGTTGGTCTAATTTTAAGCTGGATTAACGCTAGGCAAGCAAACTGTTACTAAAAGCACTTTAAAGCCAAAGCCTTTGTGGGAATTCCGATTCCCATTTCGCTCGTCTTGTGTAAATAAATGTCTCACATTTTGCATGTCACATGTTTTTGTTGCTAGGATTAGGGGGTGTTTAAAGTCGTGTAGAACTAGAGTCAAATCGAATGTATACAAAAAGGTTTACTTGTAAAGATAGAGAGTGTAAATTGAATTTACAATATGGTTAAGTTAAGATAAGTTGAGTACATTGTACAATAAGAATAAGTATAAGGTAAGTTGTATAATTTGAGTGTGTATATATAAAGAACAAGGCAATTGAGTTTTTAGTTTGGTACATTTCCAACATAGCTAACTAAGATGGAGCTCATAACGGGAATAATGTGGGGTGCTTTCGAAGGTCTCTTGATTTGAACGGATTAAACTATAGCTGAATACATGAAATTAGCTGAAAGGAGGTTAGAGATATCCTATAAAGCCCAGACCAAAAAATACAAGTATCAGATATCCTTCGAAAGTTTTTCCTCATGTAGTTTGAGTAAGTGTGGAAATCCGGTTAGTTTGAAGGGGGAGCTGGGGCAGGACACCCTAGAGGATGTATTTTCCCTTGCCCCGGTGCTCCGCTTGCCGCGTCGACGAGACCGCCGCCAGGAGGAAACTGGAGCTGCCGCCGCTACTGGTGCCGCTGTGGGTGTGGGTGCTGCCATAGCTGCCGTAGCTCTCGCAGCTGCCCAGACTGCCGTAGCTGGCTCCGTAGACGCCGAGCGGCAAGGCGTTTAGCTAAATCATGAGCGCCGAGAACGGGTTGTAGCGCATGATCTTGGAGAGCAGGATCCACAGCACCGAGGTGATGGCGCACAGCACCACGCCGCCCCATCCCAAGTCCAGGCTCCACGAGGTCAGGAAGATGCGGGCGCCCAGCAGCGGCTTGGCCATGATGGCCACTCCACCCGGACGCGCCACAATCCCGTCCACGGTGCCATCGTAGTCGCTGTCCAGCATGGGACGCCCCTGCTGCCGCTTGAAATGGATGATCATCAGCGTGAACAGGGCGAAAAGAGCTGTGTTAAAAAAACGAAATTAGTTATTTGGTCTGAGGTAAACCTAAGGGCCCCAAAAAGGTGTAATAGACTTACCCGCCAGCAAATACATCACTCCAGTAATGAGTATGGCGCTAATTTGTCGCTGGCAAACGCCAAATGCTCCCACGAGAGCAGCGCTGCCCAGGATGATTAGGCAGACCAGTGAGCAGGATATGGAGAGATTTTGCATTCCTGTGGGAGAGCGCAGAATAATTTAATTTTGTTGCACACATTTTCAGAAACTGGAATATTAAAATGCTTATGTCAGGGACTATTTTACAAAGTGGTGTAGGATGGGGAGAAAATGGCAAGCGAAAGCACAGATGCTAAATGAACTACACTTTGTGGTGGTATAAATATGAGCTCTTTGTTTAAACTCTAACAACACATCCTTTGAGCAAGCTTTAAGAATTAATCCCCAGAGGATTTCACTGAATGTGCAAAAGCTTAATAGCACTCGCCATGGCCGCCCGTAAATTCATTGTGGCCGAGCTCAGCTCTCCAATTTCCGCTCACAATCTGGGCACTGTAAAACCAATTACCCAATAGGACCACAGCAATTAAATCGCATGTGGGTGCATGTGTTCGGTTCCACAGGAACACCATAAAAAAGTTCAGCAAAATGCCAAAGTGGCAATTGCGATTTTTAGAACGCAGGAAGGAGAGGATGAAGTGGCCCACACGGTGACCCATATAGGGTTCCCCCGAACCCGTTCCTCCGCTCCAAGTTAACTGCCATGAGCAAGCAACTCTCGACACGGGCATGTTTCATCTTTGGGGACTTGGAAACTGAACGCGGTGAGGAGGAGGGAGACTCTTATTGACAATATAGAAAACCGGCGGCGAGCTCGGTTAGCTGCTGTGGTAATTACTTTATATAGACGCTACAAGGACACGCCGTGTTCCTGTCCAAGCTCCAAGCTATTGTTGGTGTCTGGCATTTGCTTTTGTTTTTATATCTGATGTGCTCCGGGGATTTGCGGGCGCCCACATCTTTGAGCTGCTGCAAATGGGATTTGCGGTAATGACTTGTGAAATGTGCGACAGCTTGGAGCTAAAATTTTAAGCCAAGTGAAATGAATCGAGGTGAATCAGGTGGCGGCGGATGGTGCTCAAAGCTTATGCTGGTGTGTATAGATACAATTTACAAGAATTTCAATAAAAAATGCATATTCTTGGTATTCTACATACATCGAAAGTGACGTCTAGGGCTCAACCTACGAGGGAGATTTTGGGGTGTTGAATGAGGGTTTGAAAGGCAGGTATATGAAATTAAGATAAGTTAAGAGGTGGAGAAAAATAAAAGAAAGCTTAAGATCACTACAAAGTATAAATTTGTGCGTAGCTAAACCTGGTTGATACTTGAAATAAAGTTAGATTATATGATATTCGTTAAAACCCTAGCAAAATCACCCGACCTTTGATTTCAGTTATAGTAAACTTTCACTCTTTTACAGATCTTCTCTGATCGCTGAAAATGTCCGCTGAAGCCGAAGCAATCGTAACAACGGCCGCCGCCGATGTGTCCTCACCCAGCAAGACAGTGGCCGTCGAGCCCGTGGCTGCCGATACGACGCCGGACAATGCTCCGGCAGTGTCCACCGAGGGAACCGGCAAGGCCGAGCAGGAACGCGCTGAGAAAATACTCAGGGGCAAGGAGCTGTTCAGTCAGGGATCGCGAAACTTTCTGGTGAAGAGCTACGACGAGGCGGCCGACGAGCTAAGCCAGGTGTGCCAGCTTTACGAGGAGGTCTACGGGGAGCTGGCCGACGAGCTGGGACAGCCCCTGCTGCTGTGAGTATGATTAATCATTAAGCATTTGATTAAATCATATTTTATGTAACTTAAACTAATTTTTTTCTAAATTGCAGCTATGCCAAGGCGCTGATTGCCATGGCTCTGGATGAGAACAAAGTGATCGACGTGCCGGATGAGGCTGCCGAGGATGACGACGAGGATATGGACGACGACGAAGAAGAAGGTGCCGAGGATGGAGAGGCCAAGAAAGAGGATATTAAAGAGGATAAGAAGGAAAAGAAGAGTGAGGCCAAAGAGGCCGCAAATGGAGCGAGCAGCACAAATGGAAAGGAGCTGGACAGCATCAAGGAAGCCTCCGATGAGGCCGACTCCACCGGGGAAGCCGAGCAAGCTCAGGCGGATGAGAAGAACTCGAAGAAGGCTCCCACAGGCGTTGATGAAGTAAGCAGCAGCAATGGCGGTGGAGCAGCGGCCGTCAATGATGACGAGCGACCGAGTACTTCTAATGGGGAAGTCACAGCTAGTTGCTCGAATGGAGCAGCAGCTTCCACCGGAGAGGAGGAGCCAGAGGAGGAGGAGGGAGTGAGCGGAAGTCTGCAGTTGGCCTGGGAGATTCTGGAAGCGGCTGCTCAGATATTTACGCGACAGGGCCTTAGTGGCCTCCCATATTTGGCTGAAGTTCAGACGGAGTTGGCCAACATTGAGTTCGAGAACGGCATACTCGAGGCAGCACGCGAGGATTACGGTGAGTTACATCAATGAAATATATCAGGAAAATGCTTACTAAAGGTATATAATCTTACAGAGAAAGCGCTGAAGATCCACGGCGAGCTCCCCACCAAAAACCGACGTGCCTTGGCAGAGTTGCACTACAAGATCGGCTTGACTTATCTAATGCAGCAACTTAACAAGGAGGGGGCGACCGCCTTAAGACAATCAAGTGTGTTGATCGAGGAGGAAATTGCCGAGATCAAGGGCAAGGACGAGCCTAGCGAGCGGGATAGGAACAATATGCTGGATCTGGAGGAAACCAAGCAAGAAATACTGGCCAAGATACAGGAAATCGAAGAGATGCAGGCACAGGTAAGCCATCTACAAATACCCAAGTCTACCAACACTCAATTCTAATTCACTTTTAGACCATTGCTGAGGTGCGGGCTGCTCTGGATAGCTACATCAAGCCAATGAGTAGTGGCGATGCAGCTGCCGCCTCCTCGTCGTCGTCGTCGTCCGCAAATGGAGCAGCCAGCTCCTCGTCGTCCTCGTCCAAAGGAGCTGCAGCGGCCTCTTCGTCGGCCATTAGCAGCAGCTCGGCCAAGCCCACAGATATCACACATCTGATCAAGCGCAAGAAGCCCGAGGAGCCGAGCTCGGAGGCCGAGGCTCTGTGCTCGCCGGCCAAAAGGGCTGCCGTCTAAGGCGGACATTCCAGTTGCCCAGTGGCACACCCACTCACAACCCAACCACAACCATGCCCACACAACCCACACACCACACACATCAGCAGCTACTTAAAGCCACTCACACAAGCATGCATTCAACACCATTCAACTGTTCTACTCCTCGATCCTATTTATACTATTTTGTTTGCTGTTTTCTACCAAAATTCTCTGTAAGTCTGTAAGTTTACAATCACAATTAGTGCTAAGTGCGTACATAAAATAATGTTTTGTATTAAACGAAAAACGAAGAAGGAAGGCAAAAAGTGTAAACAATAAATGCGGGAGTTTTTCCCAAGAAAGTTAGATCGGAGCGGAGGTGGATCTGGAGTGGGATTCGGACACGGACTGCCCCAGGATACGTACTCAGATGCGGCTGCAGAGTGACCTGTGACTCACTGTGCTGCCAGTCGTTGCGCTGCTCCTCGCCGCGGGCGTTCTCCATGGAGCCGGCGAGATAGTTGACGCACGGCGGAGCACCGCGCGGAAACTTGGGATTGCGCCGCAGCTCCTGCAGCTGCTGAATGGGCAGGTCGATGCACAGTGTCCAGATGCCGCCGTGCATGGGCACCAGGAACACGGAGTCGCGCCGGAAGCGATGATCGGCTGGGGAGGACTACAACTGTGAGATAAAATACCAAATTTTTTAACTGGAAGTTTACCCCTCTTGTCCGGCTTGAGCATGGCCACCTGGTCGTCGAGCAGCCACTCCAGGTGCAGTCCCGACCGGTTCGAGTAGCGATCGAGGCTGTTGCGGTCCCACGTCACGTGCTCCCAGTGGTCGGTCATGATGGCGGCGCACAGCATCGCCGTGGCGCTGGTGGTCATCAGCAGGGTGACGAACAGGAAGAGCACCGGCGGCGGACCCATGCAGCAGCTGGAGCAGCAGGCGCCGCCCGCTCCCCCGCCGCCCATGCCCATGCCGAGTCCCTCCATTTGGGAGCCCAGGGAGGTGGGTGAGCCGCTTCCGCTGCCGCGACGCTGGATGACCTTGGCGCAGCTGTTCTGGCGCAGCAGAATGCTGTTACTGCGCCTCAGGCTCTCGACGGCCGCCGCCGCCGCAGCTGTGGTCGTGGGATTATCGAACTGCAGGGATCCTCCGACCACCGAGGAGGGGTGCTCATAAATGCTGTTGTGCCGACTGGGCGCGAAGTAGTAGCACGTGGTCTGGCGGTTCTCGGCGGAGCTGGAGGCTACGGGCTCGCCGCCGGGCAGCTCCTCATTGCTGCTGGAGTAGACGATCGACTGCTTGAACTGGTTGGAGTAGCAGTTCTGCTTGAAGCTCTGCTGCTGTTGCTGCAGCTGCAGCTGCTGCTGCTGTTGCACGTAGAGCGCCTCGTAGTCGCAGTGGTGAGGATTGCGGTAGATGACTGGCCAGGAGCGAGTGGTCTTCGAGTTGTGACTGTAGCGATGGGTCGATGTGGTTGGCGCCACGGAACCGGGTTCCTCCACCAGCGGAGTCAGCTCATTGGGCGGCTCCGCCGGCTCGGGCAACTTGCTGTGCTGCTGCTGATCCTGCGCGGAGTGCTCCAGATCCGGCTCCTGCTCCTGCTGGACGGTGGTGGCCAACTGGCGCTGAAGCACGTTCTTCGCGCCGGACACACTGCCACTGGCCAAGCTGAAATCCTCCTCCTCGACCAGAGTGGCCCCGCCTGGCGTGGAGAAAAGGCTGTTAGACGTCGGCGGCGACGGTTGCGAGCGACTGCGGAGCAGGGCAAAGTGCTTCGGCTGGATGGCGCCGGATGCGGTCGTCGTCGGCGACGTGATGCTCACTTCCGGGACGCAGCGGGCGGTCACCTTGTACCGGCTGCCGCTGCCAACGGCGACACCGACGTTGACGCCGACGCCGACGTTGCCCTTGGAGCGCATCAGTCATAAGTCGCTCGCGTCCCGCTTCTTGATCTTGTTCTGGCTCATGTGGTTCGTGGTGGTGGCGGTGGCGGTGGCGATGGTGGGTTGTTGGATGGTTGCGGTTTCGGATGGATGTAGTAGTATATTGCTCTGGTTGCTGATGTTGTTGCTGATGTTGTTGCAGATGTTGTTGTTGCTGTTGATGTTGCTGTTGTGTTCTTTGGTTTTGGTTTTTGTAATTTTTGTGTGCGACGCCTAAGAGTCTACGTTGCAAAATGTTACTTTGCTTTGGTGCCTCGACAAAAATATTGTAAATATTACATAAATGTTGTACGGTTTGTTATGTTTTTGTTTATAATCTACTAGCAGCGGTTGTTGTTGTTCTTGTTGCTGTAACTCTGTTATTGTTTATTGCTGGCTGTTGTTGTTTTTATTGTTGCTGTTGTATTCGTTTTGTTGTTGTTGTAGTTGTTGCTGTTGCATCGACAACTCTTGTTTAGTTTATTTGCATTTGCATACCAATTTACATTTATGTTTGTCTTGTTTTGATTTTGACTTTTGATTTTGGATGCTTTGTCGTTTGTTCATTTACTACGTTTTACTTAGCTTGAAGCTATAAAAAGAAAGAAAGTAGAAGAAAACAAATGTACAACATGAGTTTGAAGAAGGATCGATAGAGTCGAGAACAAAGACGGGACAAAAAGGAGTCATCTACAAAAAGTGATCACAAACATCGAAATCTAAAGTGCAAAAGCTTCTAGAGTGCAATAGATTACTAAGTTTTTGACTACAACTAAACATAACGTACGCGTATTACATTGCATAATATCATTACTTGACCTTACTTGCTTCTTTATTGCGACTGTGTAAAAGGCACAAGCTTAGCAAATTGAAATTATATTTTATGACACTTTCAGATTACCATTTTCCGCTGCTTAACAAGTTCGCACATGATAAGCCCAAATTGCATTTAAAATTCCCCCACCGGACTTAATCTAATCTAACTTCATAGTTGGCAACTCCTGGTGGCGAATATTCAGCCAAATTTGAATCGTCGCCGGGCGAAATGGCCGAAGAATTCAATTGTGCTCAGTGCGACCTGAATCCGGCCGCATAACCGGCGAACGGAAGAACGCTTCGGCGGAAGGGAACCTTCCTCAGTAGTGAGGGAGTGGAATGGGAATGGCTGTTGCATATTACATGAGGTCGGCCCAACGACCAGCGGACATCCGGTGGCCCGACTGATGGCCAGCACCTTCGCCTTGCCGCCCACAACATACCGTATCCGCCCCGTGGCAAATTCAATTTGCTCCTTGCGCCCGGCCACTTACCAAAGTGCAGCAGGTGTAATGTTAGCAAGGGGTTAGCTCCGCCAGTCCGCCAGTCCGCCAGTCATATGCGGATGTTTATGCGGCCCGGGGCCAACCGCATTTTCACCCAGTTTCCCAATTTGCCAGTCGCCATCTGGCCACAGCTGGCCTGCCTTCCCGGCTCCCCTTCCGTGGTCAGCTGGTGGGATTGTCTTTGCTTTGCGGACGACAAGAATTTAATTTTGATTCAACATTTTCATTTGCTTTGTGCAGAGAATTAGAGCAAATTAGGCCGTGTTTGGCCAGTGGAAATTGCTTTCTGAAATTCGTTTAACTCTGTTTACCATTTGCAGCATCAAAACAGTTTCTGCTTACACACTGATAAGTGCTTAATATTTCATGCTAATTTGGAATGTTGTTCAATGAAGTGTAGTTTTAAATCCTAAATTCAGGTAAATTCAGGTTCATATAAGTTTAAGCTACTGCTGGTAAAAGTAGTGCTGGCAGATGATTATGTAAGAAGGCAAAAGTCGTTCGCAAGTCATGCAGATCACCTTTTCAGATTTTAGTCGCCAGGCACGTGCCTCTGCTGTCGTTCCAGCTCACATTTGCCTAGCTTCTTTAATTTTTAATGCTAACGAAATGGGAGACCGGCTGGCAGACGGCGCTGTTGCTGCCCCTCGTTAGCATAATTGATCGGCTGGCACACACGTGCCTCCGATGTCAGTTTGGTCAGTAGGTCAGAGCAGCTGGTAGCTGGTGGCTGGTATTAATTAACACGCATGATGACCCCGGTGAGCCGGCAGTCCTGGAATCAGTTGGCAGGCGCAGGCACAGGAGTAATTTGATTACGCCATGAGTTGGCCACTTGACAGTCGGTTCAGCACTTCCGTTCGAAGTCGGAGGACTGTAAACTGCCCACACTTCAAAAAAAGGATGATCTTCAGTTAAGTGAGGCAAGTAATGTGTAGCACACTTTCAGAAAAACAATTTATTTCTAATTGCTCATTTTCATTTCCCCGTTTTATAATTTAATATATATTCAAATCATTTATATGTGTTAAAAAAACATAATTTTTTCTCTGTGCAATGTCCCCAATGCCGCACACTTACGCAACACAATAGCCAACCCGCACGTTCCACACGCACACATTCATCGCCGATGCAGCGTAGTGTGTACGTGAGTGCTTTACAAAAGTTGGCGAAAAGTGCAGCAGCCAAATACATACACCATATAGTATACACACTTGAAGCCAGCGAAAGGATGCTTGGAATGTGTGCGTGGAGGTCGCCACAAGAGCGGGATATACTTTCCACAGCCGCTGCAGTTGCAGGGCGAACTAAGGCACTGTTTACACTTCTAACGACCAAAAGACGAACAAGAAGTCTTCGAGGAGAAGAGTTGAACAACTTTCGCAAATGTTTGCCCAGTCGAAAGTTTTCCATAAAACGGGTATTGCCTTTGCATTGGAGAGCGGCCAAGTCACGATTACGATGCAACAAAGACAGAGATGTGATTCTCAGGACCAAATTAAAATATTTGAGAAATCTTTTGCTATTAAATAACTTTCCAAAAACCAGATTGTTATTGTATTAAAAGCTTATTATAAGTTTTTCCTGCAGGTGTGACCAAAAACATTCTCTGGCAACTTTGTTCTTTAATATCATAATGTCTTTAACTGATATATCTCTTGGGACTAAATAATATTGACCCTCTGGGCTACCGATGAAAAGAGCTTCCTACAAACTTTAGTACTTTTCCACCGAGCAACAATTGGTAGGGGAACGGAAACGTCTTTACTTTTTATGCAGACAATTAAAAAGAACACTCGATTGCGGGTACACATATAAACGTATGTGGCAGCTTAAAGTCGCCACTGTTATTGTTGTTGCCCGGGCAACGTTTCGCGGTCGCCTTGGCAATCAACTACGGAAAACGGAGGAGGACAACAACAGCTGGTGGAGCTCAGGAGGACGGAGAGTTCCGCCCAAAAGGGGTCACCATAAATTAGCAGTCCGAGCAGACAGCGGCTGCTCCTTCCTCGGTGGCCACCCCGTTGTACAAATGACGCAATGCAAATGAAAAATAATGCGCGAACATTTGGCCGCAGACGAGCGAAGGAGCAGCAAGGATATTGCGGGAAGTGATGCCAATTCTCTTTAAAAGAGTTCCCACATTTAATGTTATCAGTTATGACCTGAGAAAATTTTATTTTTCGTAATCAATTTCATTGATTAGGTAACAAACAATAAATTTTTATATTCAACTCAATAAAGACCGCTTAGTCATAGTCATGATTTATTTTAACAAACACTTGTAAAATATAAAACATCAAATTCATTTATTTAGTAGTCGATTTTCACTATTTTCTCTTGGGTATATAAAAACACAGAAATGAGGTAAAAGCAGACGCCTAAAAACTGTCTGGAGCTCCTTGCCAATATTTATTACCCCGTCCGTAAATTAACAATAAAAGCTGTTTTGCAATAAATTTTAGCCATCTCTGATGGAAAGGCAGCCGCGAGTAAGAAATCGTTGCCTGCTTTTTGGGCGTCGAGTGAAAAAGTTTTTGTTTATTTCCTTTGCAGGCTGCTCTTGCACTTTTCCCGGAGAGTGGAGTAATCCGTGCTGTTCAGGCAGGGGGTCCGGAATCCGGATCCGGATGCGGCGTGGTCCACAGAAGTTTCTTGGCTTCTGGCAAGGACTGAACTGCAACTTATTTATTTAGTATTTCTGGCCGAGGCGGCTGCTCCACGTTCTTTGCCCGAAAGTTGCTCCAACTAATTAAAACTAATCTTATGCAATTTCTGGCTAATTATGCGCATAAATCACACCACGGGAACCGAAGAAGCTTTTTTGGAGGGGGCTTATGAGGCGAAAAGTGCCGAAAATTGAATATGAGTGCGGAAAGATTTGCTCGGGGTAAAGTTTTTGTGCTTGAAACTAATGCTTTTAAAATGATTGTCTGCCAAAGTTATGTTATAGATTGCAGATAATGCAGAATAGTCTTCTTTGACTTTTACTATTAATTTATAAAGCTTTCAATAAATATTAAATTTCAATTAGTTGAAGGGTCTGGATATACCGAGCTTTTTTAATTAAAATCCCCTTCCGATTCATTTCACTTCGGGTTAAAAGCACTTATATAATGATAGGGACAAACTACCACCTAAATATCTTCGTTCCTGGCATTGCCATTAATTCATTCCTAGGCTGACAAATATATAGTATAGCCACGGCCATTACCAGTTGGTGTGCGTTCGCCGACATCGGTTCGTGTACGCTTTGCTCAAATGACACAGAAAGCCAACTCTTTTGCTAAATTAATGGGTTGCCAGCCTGGAGAAAAACTAGATAAAGGCAGTTAATTTTGTGAAACGCCGACATGCAGCAAAACGCAAAATGCGGACACACATGCTCCTTCCCTATTATAAAATTTCATATGTGACCCCATAAACAGAGCGGGGATTTGCGAAAGGTCAGCATTTAATTTATTCAAGTGGTTGCCGAGGTTGAAATGTGCGGGAGCCTATGAAATCCCTCACTAATTGCAGTCTGCATTATTGCGATATATATGTCAGTTGTCGGGATTAGTTGTTGCAATTCCCCAACTCACTGTGGCCCAGTTTTTCTGGTCGAGATTTGGCCGATTGCCCGTTACTGCTCGGCTCTTCAGCTCCACTTTCACTGGCATTGTGTGCGGCCAACGTGGCGTATGCGCGATTCCGGGGAGTAAGTGCATTCAAGGGCGCAGCCTGCCGGCAATCTGACACTTTTTCTCCCCTGGTTATTTATAACTTTCGGGGCGCCTGCTAGATTACATTTTCCCGGCGATTTTTCACTGACTGTCTGCTGGTGCTGGAACCTCAAGGCCAAAGTCGTAAAGTTTGCCAAACTTTTGCTTAACGAGAGCATTTTTATGAGCGGCGAGAATGCATAAATTGAATTCATATTGTTTCCCCGCCGGAAGTCGTACTTTTCCCACCATCTCTTAAATGCTTCGCAACCTAAGCTGATAAGGAGCTTAAGGCCCGGCGACAATTCCGAGCTCCTTACAGTTCAAGGCAGCCTGCTCCTTGGGTCAAGGTATGAAGCCCCTATTCGAAGGAGAACTTTTCTCTTGCCCTCAACTTTCTGCTTTGCGCAACTTTTGTCGGGAAATAGTTTTGTCAATACGGGCGGGGGGATGAAGGGGGAGGGAAGGGGGTGTACAAAGGGGGAAGAGTGTGTGCCTGCGATGATGTCAAAGGCTTCTGCTATTCGGGTCAATCTAAAAAATTTATGGGGCAATCGCCGAGACAT